AGCAAGTCTTAGCAATTATAAGAAAGTTGAAATAATCCCTGTATTCTATGTCATCACAATGGAATAAAGGTAGAACTCAACAGCAAAACAAACTACAGAAAATTTTCAAATACATGGGGACTGAATACCTCATTGTTGAATGATCTCTGGGCCATAGAAAAAAATAGGGGGAAAATAAAAAAGTTCATAGAATCTAATGAAAAAGAAAAGAAAATATAATCTACCAGAACCTTTGGAATACAGCAAAAGCAGTGCTGAGAGAAAAGTTTATAGCTCTTAGTGCCTGTATTTAAAAAAAAAAATCACAAGTAAGTAATCTAATGATGCACCTCAAGCTTTCAGAAAAACAAGAATAAGAATAAGTGGCTGAAGTGGTAGAACACTATAGAAAGGGTGAGGCCTTGAGTTCAAACAACAGTAGTGCCAAAAAAAAAAAAAAAAAAAAGAAGAAGAAAGAAAAAGAAAAACAAGAACAAGAGAAATCTTAAACTAGCAGATGGGAAGAAATAATAAATATCAGAGCTGAAATCAGATCATGAAAAAACTACACAAAGATCAATGAAACAAAAAGTTGGTTTCTTGAAAAGAAAAATAACATTGATAGACCCTTAGCCAATCTGACTTTAGAAGGAGGAAGGAAAAGACCAAAATTAATAAAATTTGAGGTGAAAGGGGGATATCACAACAAATACCAATGGAAGGCAGAGATCATCAAAAATCTCTATTCAAATACACTGGAAAATCTAGAAGAAATGGATAAGTTTCTTGATGTATTTGAATAACCAAAACTGAACCAAGAAGATATAAACCACCTAAATAGATCTATGACAAGCAACAAGACTGAAACAGTAATAGATTCTCCCAACAAAAAAGTCCAGAACCCAATGGATTTACTGCTGAATTCTATCAAAACTTATACCAACACTCCTCAAACTTTTCCATGAAATGAAATGAAAGGAATATTACCAAACTCATTCTATAAATACAGTGTTACATTCATTACATTACAGACAAGAATACAACAAAAAAAAGAATTATAGGCCAATTTCTTTAATGAACATAGATGCAAAAAATTCTCAATAAAACACTGGCAAACCAAGTTCAATAACACATCAAAAAGATCATACACCTTGATCAAGTTGGTTTCATTCCAGGAATATAAGAGTGGTTGAATATACACAAATCACAAAATATAATACAGGATATAAATAGAGCCAAAACCAAAAATCACATGATCATTTCCAGAGATGTAGAAAAAGTCTTTGACAAAATTCAACATCCTTTCATGATAAAAAAAAAAAGTCTGAAGAAACTAGGAATAGAAGGCACATACCTCAACATAACAAAGGTTATATATGATAAACCTACAGCCACCATTGTAGTAAATGGGGAAAAACTGAAAACATTTCCTCAAAAGTCAGGAACAAGGGAAAGTATCCCCTTTCCCCACTCATATTCAAAATAGTTTTGGAATTCCTAACCAGAGCAATGAAATAGGTGGAAGAAATAAAAAAAGATTCAAATAGGGAAGGAAGAAGTCAAATTACCCCTATGTACAAATGATATGATCTTGTACCTAAAAGACTCTACCAAAAAATCTCTTAGACATAAACATTTTCAGCAAAGTAGCAGGGTACAAAATCAATATACAAAAATCAGTAGCTTTTTAAATAAACCAACAATGAAAAGACTGAGAAAGAAATCTGGAAAGATTTCTTTTGAGGCCCATTCACAATAGCCTCAAAAATATCTAGGATTAAATTTAATGAAGGAAATGGAAGATCTCTAAAATGAAAACTATAAATTACTGAAGAAAGAAACTGAAGAAGACAGCAGAAGATCAAAAGATCTCCCATACTCATGGGTCAGCAGAATCCATGCTGTAAAAATGGCTATACTACCAAAAGTCATCTATAGGCTCAATGAAATCCCCATCAAAATTACAATAATATTCTTTACAGGACAGACAATTCCTTAAGTTTATATGGAAACAAAAAAGACCTCGAAGAGCCAAACAATCCTGAGCAAAAAGAACAATGGTGGAGGTATCACAATACCTGACTTCGAACTATATTACAGAGCAATAGCAATAAAAATAGCAATGGTACAGGCACAAAAACAAATGGAAAGACCAATGGAACAGGATAAAAGACCCATGGATAAATGCTTATATCCACATTCATTTAATTTTAAACTAAGGAGCGCAACCCAAAACATACGTTGGAAAAAAGAGCCTCTTCAACAAATGGTGCTGGGAAAACTGGATATCCACATGTAGAAGACTGAAGCTAGACCCCTGTCTCTCATTATGTACTAATATCAATTCAAAGTGAATCAAAGATCTCAATGTAATATCTGAAACTACTGCAAGAAAGAATAGGGAAAACACTGGAACATATAGGCAATAAATTACTGGACAGAACACAAATAGCTCAGCAAATAAGAGGAAGGATTGACAAATGGGACTGATCAAACTAAAAATCTTCTGTATTGCAAAGGAAACAATCACCAGGCTAAAGACACAGCCCACAGAATCGAAGAAAATCTTTGCCAGTTATATATCTGACAAGGGATTAATAACCAGAATTTATAGGAAAGTTAAAAAACACTTAAACTTCCAATGAATAAATGGTCAAATGAACTGAACAGTTTTCAAAGGAAGAAGTACAAATGGCCAATACACACACGAAGAAACTCTCAACATCCTTGGTCATAAAAGGAAATGCAAATCAAAATGACACTGAGGTTTCACCTCACCCAAGTCAGAATGGCTGTCATCAAGAACCCAACAACAAATGTTGGTGAGGATGCAGGGGGAAAAGCAACCCTTACAACACCATTGGTGGGAATGTAAATTTGTATAACCAATCTGGAAAGCTGTTCAGAAGTTTCTCAAGAAGTAGACCTACCACAGGACCCAGCATTATAGCTGGAGGAATGTAAGTCAGGATACAGTATGGACACCTGCACACCCATGTTTATGCAATACTATTCACAATAGCTAAGCTATGGAAACAGCCCAGATGCCTCACTACTGACGAATGGTTTGAGAAAATGTGGTATATATACACAGTGGAGTACTGTTCGGTCATAAAGAAAGAAGAAATTATATTGTTTGCAGGTAAATGAAGGAACTGGAGATGATCATGTTAAGTGAAGTAAGTCAGGTTCAGAAAGACAAAAGCTGTATGTTTTTACTTATATGTGAAAGATAGACCCAAAAGACAAACATATATACACAAGCATGATCATATATACATAACATGTCTGTAATAGTGGAACTGTTTGAGGGGACTAGAAAGAGGAAGGAGAAGAAAAGATAATGACAGAGAATGAATAGTACTGAAAGACATTTCATCTGTGTAGGAAGATGGCACAATAAAACACACTGAAAGCTGTTGACTAATAGGGGGTAGGAGGGAAACGGTAAGGCAGAGTAATAGAGGGGGTTAATCTGATTAAATTACAGTATATTCATGGATGAAATACCAAGTGAAACCCCTTTGAACAAAGAATATATACTTGAAAAATGAAGAACTGGAATGAAAAACCAGGTCCTGTTGGAAGGTGGGTACTAGTGGAATGAGGGAGGGTAAATGGAGAGGATGAAGGAAGGGGGAATAAGGTCAATGTACCTTATAGACTTGTATAAAATAGAACAACAAAACCTGTTGAGATTACTTTAAGTAGGGGAGATAGTGGTGAGGGAGAACGATGGAGGAAATGAATCTAACCCAGGCACATTGTAAACATACATGAAAACATGACAATGAAACTCTCCTGTACAATTAATATTGGCTAATAAAATGTTAAAAATATTATAAATTAAATTCAAGATAATATTTTTATAACCATGCAGTATAGAGATGTTTCCTATAAAAACATCTCTGTGTTATCGCTTAACACAGAGAAGCGATAAAGGAAATAACTGATTTTTAATATTTATAAGTATAAAACAGAGGTTATCATAAATAAAGTTATCAAAATTATAAGTTTGGAGAAAAACTGCAGTGTATAGCACAGAAAAGGATATTATGAACATGAACTCTATTCACTATATAAAAAGTTATTAGAAATCAATAATAGGAATTCTGATGAAGGATATAAATGGATTGTTTTATTTATTTATTTATTTTTTTAAAAAATTTTATTTTTTTATTATTCATATGTGCATACAAAAATGGATTGTTTTATACAAGTGGTTATGTAGAATAAAGAACATTTGATCTAAATAGTTCACTCCACAAACCAAATTCCCAAACCATTTAACATTTCTTCTGGATGACCCTTCTATTCAAAAAGCAAACAAAAAGGTAATTAAAGGAAACTGTGTGAGATGTGACCAAAAATATTTATGTATATATATACTTTGAATGCATTTCCATATGTATAGTAAACTGGGAGGCAATATATCAGTATTATATAATTAAGAGTAGTTTTAATTTTCTTCATATGGTTCAGTATTTTAAATTCTTTACAATGAGCAGACATTTCTTGTATTATCAGAAATGGATCCTTCATATATGCCTTATATATATATATATGTATATATACATAACTGTATATGTGCATACATATATACATACATATATACACACATATGTATATATATACATATACATTATATACACATACACATGTATATATGGGGCAGCTAAGTGCAATCCAGGAAAAGAATTATGTGCTTTTAAATGAATCAAGTGTCCTTTTCTCTACAGCATCAGATGGCCAGAAAGGAAAGCAAGAAAGAAAACTTACAGGGTAAACTAAGGTCCACAGGAGGAAAGAGAAAGTGCTGTACTCTACTGCCAGATAAGAACTAGATGCATGTGCACAAGTGTGAAGGGGAGAAAGCATGTGGCATTTATGCATTGGCTTATTTGCAGCAATACAAGGACACACATCTGATCACTGTTAATGGGAATGGCTTTGCGGATTCAGAGGTCATCCTTTGTGTGCCAACAGCTCCTCAGTGCCCTGCCTTCCAAATAAGAACTGACTTTGGGTGGTGAGCATGGGTAATGGGGTAGTAATGGCATACCATTCAGTGTGACCTGCCAGGTGTGCATACAGCCCTTGTGACACAGTTAGTGTCCCACGCTGCACAGCATGGTACACAGGCAAAAGAGGCATCAGCTCATTAGAAACTGAGCCTGGCAAATAGAATGGTGTCTGAAAGTAATAGACTAACTTGGAATTCTTTTTAAAATTTCAAGCAGTAGGTGGGATCACACACATGGGTTAAAAAAGAACGAAGCTAGTATTTCATTGGGCAGCTGATAGGTGGGTGACCTAATTTTTTTTTTAACTGCCATAATGGATGTGTCTCCTTCAGGTTGCCCCAAGGTTACTCAGAGGTCATGGTTCTGGCCGCTAATCTAAGGGACAAGTGGGATCCCTTTTTTCTGAGGAAAACAGTTCTTCCCAAAACAGCAACCCCCTCTCAATTTGTACTCGTTTTAGTAGGGAAAAGATAGATTATTCAGTTAATATTCCCTTGACATTGGGGGGTGGGGAATGATCCATATCTAACTCCCAAAATAAGCTCCAACTTGTACTGAGTTAAACACTAAAAAATGAGACTATAAAAAGAATTAGACATCAATAGAGATGAATACCACACTGACCTCAGTCTTGCTTTGGCCTGCCTATGTGTAGAATCAAAGGAAACACAAAGGAAGATGGATGGATGTAAAAATATAAAACTGTGAAACTGCTGCATATCAATCTGTACTGTATGAATATTAATAAGTCCAAGAAGAAAAACCATGTAATTATCTCAATAGATGCTCAAAAAGAATTTAGTAGGTAGATACTTCGTTGATAAAATATGCATCTCAAGTCAAAAGCCAGTATAAGACATCATAGTGAAGCACTAGAGACATCGCCTTAAGGTGAGAATCAAGAAAACACTTCTACTATCCCCATTAGTACTGAATGTGTTCTGCAGCATTTACCAAGGTAGCAAAGGAGGCAAACTGATAAACAGAATAGCAGAAAAGACCAAATCTCTTTACCTGCAGGCTAGATGGTATCAACCAACTACTAGAAACTAAGAAAACTAAGAGAAGAAGTAAAAATAGCTCTCCTATATTTAAGTAAGATATCATTTCAATGCTTTATAAAAGTAATGAAACACATTATCATCAAAGGTTAAATTCTCCCTAATAGGCCAGACATGTGCCATATACCTGCAATCCCAGACACTTGGGAGGTGAAGATTGGGAGGCTTGTTTGAGGCTAGCTTGGGCAAAAAGTTAGCAAGACCTCACCTCAACAAACAAGCCGGGTGTAGGGGTGTGCACCTGTCATTCCAGCTATGTGGGAACCGTAAGTAGGAAGATCTCAAGTCTGGTCCTGGGCAAAAATATGAACCCCTGCCTAAAAAATAAATGAAATAGACCCCCCAAATAAATATGGCTATTTGGAACACAGAATAGAGGTGCATGAAACTGGTAAAGGAGAAACACATGGTGGTTGCAATAAAGACACCTTTTGGGGAAAAATCACCTGTAGTATCTCACTCCTTGGCACAGATCATAAGAAATGCAGACCCTGACATGGGGCAGGCACTGCCATGACTGATATCACTGCTTTTTAAAAAAAACTACGGATGGTCACTGTCCTTTGATGGTTAGCTTAAGATTTTTTAAACTCAAAAGAAGTTAGTATAATCCATGCTTGAAATCTTTGATCTTTCCCACACTGGCAGTGTGTGCTAGGATGATCTTGTGATACTTGGTGACAGTAGAAAGCCATAGCTCCCGGGTAGCCATAGGTCGTGAAGAGAAATGACCCATATTCTACAGTGTGTTGTGTTGCCAAGATAGTCAGAGGTAAGGTATATGAAATTCATCTTCAACTTACTCTTTTAACCTACAATGGGTTTCTCAGGACGAAATCCCATAGCAAATTGAGGAGCATCTGTGTTCCAAAATCCATTTACAATTTTATGCATAAAGGCAATTTGCCAAGATAAAATATCTCCCCTCCCCCTATCAAAGTACCTGGCTGCCATTGCTACATTTGTGGCCAGTAAGATATCAGTACAGGCTTTGGGGGTGAAACTCTGGTTTCCTGAAATAAGCTGCACCAGGTCCTCTTCCCCTTCATTCTTCCTGTCAGGAATATAAACCAGCTGTACTCTGTACTCAGGATGAAAGCTGGCAGAAAGAAAAGGCTCGAAGACCATTTCATTTCTAAGGGTGTTAGTGAGCCAGCCTGGACTTCCCGATGGGGTCTTTAAGGAACTCTTGACTGGGTTCTCTCTTAGCCCAAATGAGTTCCAACTGCTTTAAGTGAAGACCATCTTGGAGAGTAAGTCTTTTCTAAGTTTATAAAACCCCAAATCCATCAAGGAAAACACTGACTCAACTAATACATGAATTTTCTTAAAATGTGTACCTTAAATGTCTCTTGAAGGACCATATGTAAAGGCTTAGTTGCCAGCCTGTGGCAGTACTGGGGAGTGGTGAAACCTTTAGGAGGCGGCCAAGTAGAAGGAAGTGAGGTGATTGGGCATGTGTCCTTGAAGAGGTATTGGGAGCCTGGCCTGTTCCTCCCCCCTCCCCCCTACCCCCGCCTCCCAGCTGCAATGAGGTGAGCACTTTCACCTGCCCTGGTGTACAGCCTTGTCACAGGCCCACAGGCAACAGGGCTAAGAGACTATGAACTGAAACCATGAGCCAAAATAAATCTTTGTCCCTTTGTATGCTGTTTTTCTCAGGTATGTTGTCACAGTGACAGAAAGCTAACACAAACTTCTTTTAAAAATTCAGAAGTTTAAACAAACAAACAAAAACCCTTGTACCATTTGTACATTTAAGAGACAAAGAAAAGAACAGAGAAAATGCACATGCGATAAGTAAGGCTAGCTGCTTATTATGTATACAACTGTTGTGAACAAAAATATGACTTAGCCTCAGGATGCACCCTCCTTTCTCCCAGGTTCAAGGCCAGGGGATCAGGTGCCATTTATCAGGAAGAACAGCATCAGAGATTTGCAGTGTCTTAAAACTACCTGATACAAGGGCTGAACCTAGCAATTCCCCTGCTAGGAATTCATCCTATAAAAGTAAGCAAACTTGAGCTTAAAAGATGTAAAGGACGATCATTCCAGCACTATTTATAACCACGAATCTCCAATTTCAGCATGCCTCTGAATCACCTGGAGTCGTTAAAACCTGGATTTCTGGGCCCCACAGAGTTTCTGATTCAGGAGAATTTGCATTTTTCAGACTTTAGGTGACATTGATTCTGCAGCTCTGAGGAACAGACTGAGAATCATTGATTTATAACATCGGCACCTCAGGTTCTATTATCGCAGTTGTTTTCTCTACTTCATAAAGAAAATTTGATTTAAACACCACAATGGAGCAAGGAGAGAGCCCTAGCATTGTGACTACCGGACAAACACATTCTGAATCTTTTATATATATATATTTTTTTGGGTGCTGGGGATGGAACCTGGGGCCCCACACATACTAGGCAAACACTACCACTGATCTATATCCCAGCCCCTTCAAAGTTATACTTTTGATGGGAAAAAATCTCTTTGGGCAACTAAACTTTAAGTCCCAATCTTTTAACCTCAGCCCAGAATCACTCAGTAAGATGAATGTGAGGTATGATTCCTGGTTAACAGTACTCCCTGCCCCTTTCCTTAAGGATTCCAGGCTCTATAGCTGCCACAGAGCCTGTTTCTAACTTGACAGGTGTAGCAATACTAGAAGAAATAGCAAAGGAGTAGACCTTTAGGTTATTAACCATTTCTGTACTAGGAAGCCTTAATTTTCCATTACAGAATTTTCAAACTGGCTTCCAGCTATAAGTTTTGGTGCTTTTCTTGTTTTGGTGCTTTACTGATGTTGTTACTTGGTTATATTTCTATATGATACACTAAAGTACAGAGTGACCCAAGAAGAAGGTTACTGGGTAAACTTCAGAGTATTTGAGAAATATCCCTAAATTACTTTCTCTAAAGTTCTGAAGTACTAGTTACTTCCTTAATTCAAAATTCTTCCCCTCATTCAAGGAAAGCCCCGTTTCCTTCTTCCCAATTTTCTCTCCCAGACTTGTCCACCCTTATATAAATGCTATTTCCTCTCTGTAAAAGTTCCTCCCCATGAATTCTGATGTGTGATTGACACATGACACACCAGGCCCCCAGGATGATCTACTCAGATTAGGAAGGTGACTGCCCTGCCTGCAACCCCATGTTCTATTTACATTTGTCCTGTAGGACAAATTTGTCCTGTTAGTTCCTCTAGGACACAGATGCATGTGGTTTGCATGGCACACACTGCTGTGCCCAAGGCTTCACAGCAGCCCAGCATTACAGTAGACTTTAGGGGAGGCACGCCACAGTCTCACTACAAAAATGCTCATGTCCTTTCCAAATGGGTCACTGAAATTCAAACATACAATATGAGTCCTCACATAGATCCACATGCCAGTTCTAGCAACAGCTTTTAAACAATGCACAGGTAAAGCAAGTGTTTCTTACTTTGAGCTGTTGTCGGACCCTGGCCAAGAAGAATTTCCAACAATTTTCCTTGGAGTCCACCATGCCCAGAGCACGGACCTCATTACATATTCTGGAACCTACATTGTCCATATCTTCATCATTAAACAGATCTGGGATTTCTCCTGCCCCAAAAACAATGAGGAGAATTATTCAAAGGGCATCATAATTTAAATCTTAGATAGAATTTTCTAACGACTTAAATGCTTTATCTTTACAAGACAAAGTTCTGCTTACATGATAAGAGTTTAAAATCAGAAATGTGATTTCTCTTTTCCTTTTGCATTGACAAGGCACTAAACACACTGAGAGTGAGCCATGAAGAACACACCCACTAAGCCCGAAAATAGGAATAACATTGACTTCACTGCTGGCCTCTCGCAGGCACTGCTCATCCATAAGCAGACGGAGAGAGCAATATACCTCAAATTAGTTAGGTTTATAGGTTTCTCCCCAAAGACTGCCCCAGCAAACATCTGAAAGACAAATTATCTCTCTTTAAAGTTCACTGAAACTACAGATAATTTGTCATTGGGGAAGATCTCTCAAGAAATGTATTGGTTTAATCACCTGACACCAGCAAGTCATTAATCAGCACGAGAAAGCTCTCATCTAGAACGTGGGCATCTGTCAGCAGGAACACAGTGGGTATGTTCTTGGCTCCTGTCCTGATGCACAAATTGGCAAGATCTACCTGTAAGGGAAGGAGGCCATCATTCATGCTTTGTTAAAATGCTGATGTTGTGCTGGGAGCACGTGTGCTGGTAAGAATTGAGTAACTGTAACCCAGGGTGGCACGTTGGGCCTTTCACCCAGTGACTTTTCCCAGTGACAGGCAGGCAGCAAGACCTCACCTCCATCTCTGGCATCTGAGCATGAGTGGTGCGTGTGGGTCTTAATGGGTAAAAATGGGTTCCCGTCTCACACAGTGAGAATGAATTCAGTGACGCCTCTGTCAAACACCAAGGGCAGGAAGGCCTCTGCTCACTTCAATGATTGTACACTTCATTCAAAGTAGTTTTTGTTTGTGAATTTGCTCAGTACTATGAAAAGCATGGTTTTTGGTGTGTGGGGAGGCAATACTGAGGCTTCAACTCTGGGCCTTACATTTGTTAGGCAGATGCTCCGCACTTGAGCCACATTCCCAGCACTTTTGGGTCTAGGTTACTTTTCAGACAGGATCTCCCATTTTGTCCCCTTGGGGTTAGCCTCAAACCTTGATCCTTCTACCTATGTCTCCCATGAAGCTGGGATTATAGGAGGGTAATTGTGGATGAGATGGGCTCCCACTAACTTTTTTGCCCAGGCTGGGCTCAAACCATGATCCTCCTGATCTCTGCCTCTTGAGCAGATGGGATCACGGGTGTGTGTCACCATACTTGTCCTGAATTTTAAAAAATTTAAAATAACACTTGCCTCAAACTGTAAGTACTTCTTATAAGTACTCTTCTGATTAATCAGGGAAAAAAAATCCATTAAAACACAATAGCTTCTCAGTATGCTATTCCCATTGCCACTTATTCTCATATTCCTATCCAAAGGGGAAGAAATCTACTTGCAATTATAAAGGGAGCATCTTTCTTTTTACCCTCTGTCATACAGGGACACTAATATTGTTGAACATCAGTTTCATTAATGCAAAGGAAAAATGCATTTGTGCAAGTACTTAATAAAATATTTTATGAGTCAGGTTTATGTTATTAAACCTATAAAAACTTGAAGAAATACATTTTTACTAAAGTGACCATGAAGACAAAACTGCCAAAGGCAAATGAGTACTGTCAGGAACCCGTCCTCACCCATGGTCAGGAAACCCTCCACCAGGTGCAGGGCTCACAGCTGCCAAGGGTCACCTCTCAACTTATGCTTTGTCTGCTGGACAAAAGGATTAGAGTTCAGCCAGCCCTGTGCACCCACAGATTCTGCCAACCGCAAATTGAAAAAATATGGGGAAAAATTATGCTCGAACTGAACATGTGCACTCTTCTTGTCACTATTCCCTGAACAATACAGTAGAATAGCTATTCACATAGCTTTACAGTGTACTAGGTGTTTTAATTCCTGTCCAAAGGGACAACCCTTTAACATTTGCGACATATGGGTTCAGTTGAAGAAACAGGTTAGAATTATACTATAAGCAATAAGAAAAATAGCAAAATTTAATTATTTTTATTTAAAGATTTAAAGCATGCAGGAAGACATGCACAGGTTATATGCAAATATGATGTCACTCTATGTAAGTGAGTTGAGCATCCATAGTTGGGGTCTCTGTGGGGGTCCTACACCATTCCTCCAGGGATAAGGGACAACTGCACTGCCTGTCAGCTTTTCTTACCCGAAGTTCTTGGATTCCATAGCCTTCGGTCAGAGTGATCTGAAAGACCTCAAGCCTACAGATGTAAGCTGCCAGCCTAGACAGGCTCTGCTTGCCACTGCCCCCCACTCCAATCAAGAGGGCGTGCCCCCAAGGGGTCCACAGGATGCGGCAGATACGACACCTGGTGACAGAAAGAACATCCGTTACGAGGTGAACTCCAAAATACTCTGCTCCTTATTTTTTCAGATAAACATTTAGAGAGGAAACCTCAATTTTTATTGGAAACTTTAGTCTTTGTTCATGTTGCTCCCTCAAAGGCTTTGTCTACTCCTTTGTTCTTGAACTATTTGACTTACAAACCTTCCCAGGCTAGTAACATTTCAGATTCATTACTTTATCACTCACCACCACACTTGAAAACATACAGAAGTCCTTGATTCTAAACTTCAATTTTTGTTTTTGATGAGGATGAAAGATTCCAATTTCATGTCAGGACTTAAGATCAAGGACATCAAGAGAGACCATCTTGGAAAGAAATTTGTTTAGACTAACAGACATTTCCGTGTGCTTTACTCCTGGAGATTAAATAGTTGCCTTTTACCATCCCCTCTTGTACAGAATTCAAGAGGTTCTGGTGCGTAAGATGTTGACACCATTGTTCTATTTTTCAGTTATGAATAACTTTGACTTAAACATTAGTGACATATGGGTATGGTGGAAGAAACAGGCCACAGTTGCATTATCAAGAAGAGCAACATAAAAGCACACAGATACTCAAGTATGAAAAGCTGGATGCCAAGGCATTTGCTCTAGGTTGCTTTTCTGAAATTCAGACACTGTATAATCCACATTGATGTTTATTTGAAAAAAATAAAGTTGGGGTCACTTATACTAGGACCAGCCCATGTGAACATTTTCAAAATTCTCTAATAACCAAAAAGACATTATTTTTACAAGTTTTTTTATCCCATCACATTTCACTTTACTGACCACAAAAAAGAAGCACCTTAGGAAAACTATACTACGAGAGAAACCCTGAGCTCCAAAGCCAGGCTTTCATTCCATCTTAACCCAGATGTTGCTGCATTGCAAAACCCCCTTCTACAGCCCTCACAGACACTCTTAATCATCTTCCTGGTTTTTCTCTATGCTTTAGCCATCTTTACCCTTTTTTATGTTTCTAGAATGTTCCTGTCTTGCAGCCACATGAAATCAGCCTCTGTCTGCAATGTTCTCCATCCCAGATATTTCCATCACTTCTGCTTATCATTTAGAGCTCAGCTTAAATGTCACTTCCTCCCACAGATAGCCAGTCCCTCTTTGAGAATCCAAATACAATCTGAGCATCCCTTATCCAAAAATCTGAAATTTGAAATACTCTAAATCCTAAACTTTTAAGAAAATGCCACACCTGACCTTATAAGACATGTTATAATCACAATACAGGTTTATTGAAAATGTTGTAAAAAATTGTTTCAGGCTATGAGTATAAGGTGTAAATGAAAAGTAAATGAATTTTGTGATTAGACATGCAATCCTTTCCTAAGATATTTCATTATATATATGGAAAAGTTCCAAAATAAAAAAAACCTAAATACTTCTGGTTCTGTGCATTTTGGGTAAGGGATATTCAACCTGTATCGGTTTTTTCTCAGAATCCACTTACTTTATTTCTCAGCATGACACATTACTTTTTGGTATTTTTCTTGCTTATTGTTCATGTCCTTTTAACTGTCCATCCACAGTATTGATCTGTAAGCTCCATTAAAGAAGGGACTGGCCTATGGGGTTCACTGCTGTATCCCCAGCACCGAAAATGAGGACGGACAGAAGGGATGCTGGAGACAGTAGCATAATGTACACTACAGAAAGTGCCCAATCTAGGGGGTGAGTGAGGGTCTTGTCAGTCGTGCTCTACCCCATGACAAAAAAAACATAACCAGTCCTTTTTTTTCTAAGTTTTCCCAAAGGTACTGAAGAAACCGTCCATGTTCTTCTCAGGTATACAGTAGTCACTCAACACAACCTGCTTAATTCATAAAAGGTGGTTCGAGTCCTGCCTCTGCCACTTACAAATTATGTGATTTTGAACAATCATTTCTGTTCTCTTTCTTAACATTCTTATCTAACAGGGCTTCAGAAATAAAATGAAATCCTGGATGGATATAACGGAACTTCAGAATGTAATGTGCCTATATGTAAGATGGTAAGGTTGTGACCTAATAGTGACACGTATATTTTAGTGTTGTATGACAAACATTAGATAAGAACCTGAAACAAAGTACTGATAGAGTCTTAGTTCAATCTGCTAAAGAACAATTGTGCACTGTTGGTTGTTTTTGCTTTTGTGAAAAAACACTGTTAAGTCAACTTACACATGTTGCATGGCATCTTCAAACAAAACCAGGCGCATGGAGGCATTTAGTTCATTGTAGTTGTCTAACGTTTCTGTAAGAATCGTCTTCAATCCTTCCCAGTCCTTCACTGGCATGTAACATGTGTCCTTTCCGCTGTTAGCAAAGTGGCAATAAATGAGTGGCTGTTGAAGCAGTGCATGACTGTCGACACCCTGCAGAATGAGGAAGGGAAAACTGTGATGTATCAGCCACCCAGAAAGACTCAGCTGGGCAGATCAGCCTGTCCAGGTACAGTTTGTGGCTCTATGCATGAGTAGGTGGGACAGTGTTCCTAAATCCAGACCCAGTGCCTCCTCAAAGCCCAGCTACTGTAAAAAGTAAGCTCTCCTACAATTCACCTATGTCATTTTCTAACTGTGGCTCCAATACCAACTATGCCAGAGCCAGCAATAACCCCTGATATACACTTACTTCAAAATATTTATGAGCAGTGGCCAGCATTTTTTTCTGAAACAAGTCACAATCTTTTGTGTCTATCAGTTTGTCTCCATAAACACGGGAAGATTCATGAAGCCACAGGTGTACTAAATCATTTGGACCTTTTAAACACTCAGGAGAAGCAAACAAAATCCCCTAAAAGGCAAGAATGGAAACATCTTTAACTCAAAAAACTATGACATTCCAAATAAAATTACCTTTAACATTTATTTAATTTGTATACTAACTTTAGCAATTTAAAAGAAACATAAATAGGCATATTTATGTATGTGCATATAAAAGTAGTTTCTCCTTCAGATAATCTTAAGATTAAAACTCTGCTTTTAAGCAATACTTTATTAAGCATAGTTTTCCTGGCAAGTGCTAAAAATATAGATGTGAAAGAAAATGGTTGGTGTTATTAGCAAGTTACTATCTAATGCTGGGCCATGGTTGTGAGGCAATTGTGGAGTGATTCTGAACAGATTTTTAAGAATATGAAGAAATCTAATAAAGTTTTCATATTTATTTCTCTCATAAAGGAACTTTAAATCTTAAGTCACCCTCCAATTACATTTACTGTAATAAAAACTGCTCCTATTTTGAGGAATTCTAGACCTTCAGTTCTCTTTAATATTTTTCTTATAGACTCAATACATAAACATCATCTCTTTACTAGATGCTCTAAGTTTGGATCTTAAGTATCCCTCAGTGGTCCATGTGTGGTGCTATGAGGAGTTGCTGGAACCTTTAAGAGACAGGGCCAACTGGGAGGTCGTTAGGTCATGGAGAGCATGCTCTAGAAAGGACTAGTGGGACCCAGATCCTTTCTCTCTCTCTCTCTCACTTCCCAACCATGTGGTGAGTAGTTTTGCCCCACTGTGTGTTCCTGCCATGATGTGGTGCCACAGAACCAAAGAAATGGGGCCAACCAAAGTCTAGAAAACTGTGAGTCAAAATAAACCTTTTCTCTTCATAAGCTGGTTATAGCAGGTATTTGGTATAATTACAGAAAGCTGACTTAACACACCAGGTAAACAAGGTAATCTTTAATATCAAACCAAAATGACCCAAAAGTTTAAAAATTTTATACTTTCTCTCAATATGTATTTGAAAATTGCATAGAAATGTTTTATGCAAAAACATGACCAAGTACTCCTATTTGACAAGTGCTCTTATTTTGAAGGAAAAAAACCCCTCACCACTCAAAGGAGTCCAGATTTCTACCTTTGCTCCTATTGCTAAGTCACTCCTTTCTCTGAATGCCTGCTCAATTTCATGCATGAAACATAGCTGCCATAATAGTATTAAGAGGTAGGGCCTTTAGGAAGTAATCAAGCCAGCAGGGCAAAGGGAGCTTATACAAGAGGTGCTAGGAGTTCATCCCCTTTGCCCTTCTGTCCCCTCTGCCGTGGGAGGACACAGTGTTGAAGACACCATGTTGGAAGCCCAATCAAGCTCCTTCCAGACGCTGATTCTACTGGTGCCTTGATCTTGGTCTTCCTAGCCTCTCAAACTGTGAGGAATAAATCTCTATAACTTATGAATTATTTAATCCAGGGTATTTTGTTTTATGGCAGCACAAAGAGACTCATACACAATGCAGCCTAAGGGGAACCACTGTACTTGTTGATAACAAGGAATAAACCTGCATAAACACAGAAGTTTATGACTACAAAATGAAAGAATATAAAAATTACATAGCATAGTGTTAAACTAAAGTTCTGTAAATGAATGTCATTAATACTGCTATAATTACTCCTCTACTCAAGCAAGAGTAGTCAAGATACCTGGAAGATGTTTGACAGGTCCCGCAGATTAAAAATATAATGGAATTTAGTAGCTGTAGGTAAAAAGTTCTGTGTTATCATCTGATGGAGTGCTAGCACTGCCTGGATCAAAAAGGGGCCACTTCTGAGGACTGATGGACCAAAGGCTTGCTGCTGGAAATGGAACTAAAGATTTGGCCATAGATGGTTTTCAGTGAACCCAAAGACGGGAAATTGAATGCAAACACTGTGAAATGTCTCTGAAAAGAAAAACATAAATAGTACAAAATAGAGATTATAGTTTACCAGAAAATTGTAAAACATGGCTTAGGTTTTTCACTCCAACCTGTACCCAGGCCCATCACCATGTAACTTTTAGTGACTTCCACTCTGATCCTGAGCTTAGCCAGGTGACTTACTTGAGCTTATACAACGGGGTAGAAGCAAGACGATAGCATGCCAGTCATTGTCAGAGGCTTGCCTGGTTCTACCTGCTTGCTTAAGCCTCTGACTTCCATGAATCTTATAAGCCTGCAAAAGGACAGGTGACACAAAAAAGCAGAGCCACGCTGTCCCAATCACGGACTAGCTAACTGTCAAGCACCAGATGCCCATCCATGAGCCAGGCCAAGATCAGCAGTCCCCCGGCTCACCCCTGGCTCACTCAAGACAAGTGAGAAAGTAACCACTGTGTGCTACTGTGGTATGTATAATCGTGGGGGGTTGGTGTCACTATTAAAATGCTGATATGTGTACATACACAAATGCACACACAAATACACACACAGCTGGGTGCCGGAGGCTCACACCTGTAATCCTAGCTACTCAGGAGGGAGAGATTAGGAGGATAGTGTTTCATAGTCATCCTGAGCAAACAGTTTGCAGGACCCTATCTTAAAAAAAAAAAAAAAAAACTAACACGAAAAAGGGCTGGTGGAGTGGAACAATGTGTAGGTCCTGGATTTGTACCCCAGTCCACACCACACACACACACACATCACACATACATGATTATAGTAGTTTTATGCTCCATTACCAAAACTTGAAAGCAATCAAGCTATCCTTTATTGGGTGAAGGAATAAACTGTGTACATTCATGCAATGAATACTCCTCAGTAATAAAAGGAAATGATCTATCGAGCCATGAAAAGAGATGGAGGAGACTTGAGGGCATATTGCTAGCTAAGTGAAAGACATGTACCATATGATTCTAACTACATGACAACCTGAAACATGCAAAATTGTGGAGACAGTAAACAGATCAGTGTTTAAGAAATTCATATTCAGAATACAGAGAAAAATTCATAAAACTTTGGTAACAACAAGAACTCGATTCAAAAGTGTTCCATGGATATTTCTCTAAGGAAGATGGCCAAGGAAAGAGCTTAACGGCATTGCCTATGTTGATGCTGTACATCAGGGAGACACAAGCAAAACTGACTTCGCCTGTTAGCATGGCTACTATGAGAAAAAGTAAAAATCTAACAAGGATTGGCGAGGATGTGGAGAAATTGGAAACTTTGTACACTTTTGGTGGAAATGAAAAATGATGCAGCCACTGTAGAAAACAGAATGGTAGCCCCTCAAAAAGCTAAAAACACTGTTACCATAAAATCTTGTGATTCCACTTCTGGGTAGATACTCACAAAAATTGAAAGCAGGGTCTCCAATAAATATTTGAACCACTATGTTCATAGCAGCATCATTCACACTGGCCAAAATGTGGAAGCCACCCACATGTCCACCAGTGGATGAATAGATAAACAAAAATGTGGTATACAGTACTTACAACAGAACAGCATCCAGCCTCAAAAAGGAACTTCTACAACATGCTACGTGGGTGAACCCTGAGCACACTATGCTAAGTAAGCAAGCCAGTCACAGTAAGAGAAATCCTGTGTGCTTTCACTTATCAAAAGCACAGGGACAGGAAGTAGAATGGTGACTGTCAGAGGCTGGAGGAGAGTAACAGGAAATCAGTTTCAGTTTCACAAGATGAAGAACGTTCTGGTGATGGAGAGTGGTGATGGTTGTACATCACTTTGAATGCATCTACTACCACTTGAATTGTATACTTTAAATGGTCGAGGTGGTAAACTTTGTGTAATGTGTATTTTACAACAATAAAACAGAAAAAATATTTTAAAAGATCAGTTGTTACTAGGGCTTCAGAGGGGAGGGAGGGACTAGGCAGAACTTAGGGGTTTTAGGACAGGGAAACTAGTCTGACTGATATTGTAATGGTGGATACCTCTTGTTATGTATTTGTCAAAACTCAAAGAATGAGCACCATGTGAATGAACCCTAACGGACACTCAGGACTTTATAATAAAGCATCGACATTGCCTCGTCAATTATAACTATGCAAGAGGCTAGTAATCAGGTAAAATGAAGTTAAGGGAATGAGGGTCTATATGGGAATATGGTACTTCCAACTTATCTGCTGTAAACTTAAAACTACTCTAAAAATACTATACCAGTTAAGAAAAAAAGCTTACGTGCATAACCAGATGTCCAGCAGGAATCGTACTTTGCACTCTAAAGCACCAAGAAATAAGACCTAGAGTTTTCAATATTATGTCGGAGGCTGTGGGAGAGAGGAGCACCAAGCACTCCTACCTGCAACCTTGGGTTGATCGTGAAGCTGCCCACCATGGGGTTCATGCAGGCGACATACTGGCAGTTGTGGATTTTTTTAAGCATGACCTTCTGTCTATCATACCTGAAAGATACAAAACAGAATCTTACACCTAAAAACCGGAGCTGAAAAAAACAATGAAATTCAGCAGTTTATGGAGGATTTTATCACAAACAGGCACCTTATCTTGACAATCACTCTGAGGTTGAACTGTGAGCCTCATCTCGGGGACATCCAAAGTGTAGCTCTGTGTTGAGCTCTGTGGATGCCAAAAATCAAGATCTGAAGCCGAATCAATAGAAACTATTATTGCTCGGTGATTCTAGTGTGGTTTCTCTTTCTGGGTAGAAATGATCTTGAACCCACAGCAAGGTGTGATGGATGTGACACGGCTCACCCTGTCACAGTCATGGGTTGCAGACTGCAATGCCTAGGTATGACCAAATGTTTACATCCTACAGAATAAGGTCAGGCTTCTCTTTAACAGTACAATGTGAGATAATTCTTAAAGAGGACATTATTTCTGGACACTGTGTTTCTAGGTTACTTTTCAATCCACTCTTCCAAAGATACAAAGGTTAATTATTCCATTTCATTTGATGGAAAGAAACACAAAGTATACCCCAAAGGTGTAAGAAATTGGGGATAATTCCACCTTTCTACCAGATTTTTGTAGAGAATGAAATACAGGGAATTGCTTACCAATGTCCATAGTCTATATGCTGCCGAATCAGAGTGTGAGGCTGAACAGTGCCATATAAGTCCATTTCAGGAATATTCATGTCATCAATGAAATAAACCAACTTTTTATTCCCTCCTGGACCATAGTTACGACCAGCTTTTTTCTCTAGAGGTTTCTCAAGGATTCCTGAAATAAATATATAATACTGTCTACCAATGACAGATAGAAGGTAAAATTTCTGACCTTAAGTTATTTTCCCCCATATTCATCTCCTCTTCTGTTGGTTCATTCTTCCCATGGTTATGAGTATAATGTATCCACTGTTTAATACCAGAGATGTGTCACTGACCATCTTCTTCTATGTCATGCTTCCTGCTGACCTCCTTCCTATTGCCAGAGGTTACTCTAACTCGCTTTTTCTGGAGACTTTAACATATGCATGTGACATCTCATTGAAGGCACCTTATTGCTGATCTGTGCATTTTTCTCCTCTGTACCATTCTAACTTATGGCCCTCTGCTGGTCCAGCCACTGGCTGGTCTGTCGTCCTTCTCCTTCACCCTTGCAGAAACATCTAGGAATGACTCAAGAAAGTCTCCCATAGCTCTCTTCCTGGGCCACTGGAGCACAAAGCACCAGAAAACAGTGTATATAGAAACTACCCGTATATAAAGTTATATTTTTCATATACCTATGACTTGTGTTGATTACATATTGTATATAATATACATATAAATATAAATATATTGTATGTATCTAATTACATGTTGACTCTCTAAACAGGTTACAAATATCTTGGGGCCAAGAATCTACCATATTCATTGCTGTATCCCTGATGATGACAAAATCAAGTCATTTGTTAAATGAGCAAATGAATAAGCAAAGAAGTATACAATGAATAATACCTTTTCCAAGCAATAGACCAACCTTTCCAAATGCTGGAGGCATATTACTTCCATTGGCACCTGGATGTTTGGCTAACACCACACCTGCCTCTTTCCAAACTCATTTTTAACATCATCTCCTCCCTACCTCTTTCCCTTTATATTCTGTGTTCCTGCTTATAGGCATTAACCCTCCCACATGCAAAGCCTCATGGGAATCTATCTCCTGGTCTTCTGTCTGCCCCACCACAGCCAGTAAAGGGTACTTCATGTCATTTCCTTATATTCTCAACTTGATACCTCCATTCTACAACTCTGGTTTAGGGCTACATTACATTCAGCTAGGACACTCCTCAAGGGAGCTGCTCTCCCTATCTCAGACTCCTCTTCCCCAAGGCAGCTCCCACCTAGTCAGGTCCTTGCTCCTCCTTGATGGCTCCCCACTCCCCACCAAGTGAAATGCCGTCTCCTCAGCTTGTGTCTCAGCATTTTCTCCAATTATGGTGGTCAGCTATCAGGTTGCTGTGAACTGTCCCAATTTTAACACTTATAGCCCCTTGTTCCAGAGAACGCTTTGATCTTTGGCCAGCTGTCCATCTGGACACTATCTGCAGTAGAATTCCCACCTGGTCCTCACTCCAATATTTCCATCATCTACTTGATCACACTGAATCTTACAGATTCAAATCACTGAATGTGTTCTACAATCTTTTCTTCCATGTATTTGCTTACGCTGAACCTTCTATCCTAAATCTCTTCTTTCCTATATCACCTGTTCTCAAATGTTTGAAATTCTCTTTCATAGTACATTGACAATTATAACTATTTCCCATATTAATACCATCTCAAATCTTTTCCATGTCTGTACCCCTCTTGGGAATTAGCAAGATACATTCACACCATAGTCACATAATTTGTTCAACTACTGAACAGTAGCTTCTTTCCTTTGTGTCTATGAACGAAAAACATGTGCCACATATAAGACCTGGGAAAAAGTAATTCATATGTATTTGCTAAAGAAATGGATGAAATAATGCTGAATTTGCCTTCTAACTATTCCATTCATAAAGATAAGTAAGACAAACAGATTAAAGAGATTAAAGAGATTACAGAAAGATCACTATTGGCTGAGTTGATATCAATGTGCAAGACAATTTATTATTAGTCTCCACTGATATACCTAAGAAAACAACACACATACACATGCACATATGCACACTCCAGGAACCCATATTCAGAGCAATTCAACGTTTTCAATAAACTACTGAGAAGTACTTTGCATACACGTACGAGAATAGAACAATGAAGCCTACTGAAATTGTTTTAAGAAGAGGGTAGAGAGGTTGAGGTGGGAGTGATAGAGGGGGTGAATTTGGTCAGGATACACCGTATACATGTATGGACATATCAGATAAACCCCCCCTGTGCAATTAAACAACTGAGACAATAGTTTTTCTGCCCCTCCTCCCCATATAATGCCCTGTTGGACAGTGACAAGACTACCAACACCAACTTTTTATACTGTTTTCCCTTTACTTCCCATGCTCACCTCATGTGCTCTTCCTGACTGACAATGCCCCAAATCTGAGCTGTGTGGTTCTTTTGATGACACTGACATATTTATTCAATAGCCTGAAATTATACTTATATTAAGATTTAATTAACAAACTGTGATCTGTCATTGCATCTATACAATTTTAATGAATTTTCCATAAATAATTCCTTCTGTGAGTGTACCCTTACATTGTTGGGCTCCAGGAAATTAATTAAAGGTAACCAAATGGTTTACAGTAACACAATTAACTCTGTGGATGTAAAGTTTTTGCTGTAAAGGGTACAGTAACCCAAATAAATCCAAGAGTGAAATAAAAAGCTAATATTTCAGTAATACTGCGATGATATTTAAACAAAGTATATTTACCCAGGAGGATAATAAGTAAAAATTCATCTGAGGCCTAAGCAAGATGTGTGAATCCTAGGGAAGACAGTACTCTCTTTGGGCTGCAGGCAGGCCCCAGCTCGACAGCTTCTGATCTCATGTCTGGAATATAAAGGGAGAGTCGCTTACTTTGCAGAGCTGCAGATGTTGTGCAGTAGTTGAAAGGCACATGGGACACTATGTAGTCCTCAGGGAGATGAGCCAGCACATCACCCACAAAGACTGTTTTTCCAACTCCTGCATTTCCTACTAGCATGAGTGGTTTTCCTTTCTCAAGCAACAATTCAAAGAAATATCTAAGACGAGTTGTTTCTGATGTGTGAACCAGAACTGTCTGGGGAAAAAAAATAGAGTGAGAGAAAGGTCAGAGAGACACAGAAGCATTCCAAAATTTTCTATCTGACCCCACATTGCCACTTTAGAATTGAGATCTAAAGAATTCTCAGCTCAACTTAACATGCAGTAGGACAGAGTCCATCTGATTTTCAGTTTTGAGTTGTCAGAGATCAGACATCACAGTTTCAGGAGAGAAATTGGGTGATACCATCAAAACACCACAGCATAAGCACTGATTTATATTTTCCAAAGTAAGGACCAGCCCCTCAGGCTCCCTGTCACAGAAGGCCTATCCTCTCCCCAACCTCATCTTAGGCATGGAAGGAAGTACAGTGAACATCAAGACAGTATCCCCACTCTTCGGAAGCTGACAAAAAGATTGAGAAGTCAAGCCACACATGAATAAGAGCTGAAGGACTCAAACAATGTTTGCATATATGAATAAAAGAAAAAAAATGAATAAGAGCTGAGACCTTGCCTTGGCCCAATGAGATTTAATGGTACAATCCATGCCAATGTGGGAGAGACCAGTGTAGGAGAAAAAACAGCTTTTAAGTAGAATACTCACAAATCTGAAACTTACTATGCATTACCTTGCTCAAAATTAAAGCTTCCTTTCTACTTTTTGAAAATTGGTTATTTATTAATTCATAGACCATATTGTTTCACAAGGAATTTGAAATGGCTTATAGAATAAAATAAAATGAAGAACACAAAGAAAAAAAATTAGAACTAGGGAACACAGATTGAAATATAAGATGAGGGCAGAGAATGGTAGATGTGGAAAATCAAGTTCTACCCAATGATTAAAAGATAGTTGACATGTGAGTGCATTTCTTGGTGGCCTCACTTAAAAGGGGGAAAAACTACTTGTAAGAGTCATGTTGTTTATAAATGATACATAAACAAATGAAGTTTTTTTCTAGCTAGCATATACTGAATACAACTGAACATGTTACAGATCATTCCAGATCATCTTCATGATACATTTACTCCAAAGTCATTAACTGCCATGATACTCTAGGCTTCCTGAATGGGCAGAGACTGTTCTATGCCACATTAAACAGTCCTACTTTTTGATTTTTTTTCCTCCTTTTTTGTGTGTATTTGCTATCTTTTTGCTTTTTACCTTGGTTCCTGGCTCTCTTCTTCCCATGTTAATACCATGTTACATACGGGGCTTAGTGGACTGTAGTTAATACCCTCCACTAAGCCCCGTATGTAACATGACACAGATATTTACAGCAAACCAATGAGGACATTTTCATTATTATTTCTACTTCAGAAACAATGAAACTAAAACTCAGAGAGCTTAAGTGACTTGACCAAGCTAGCGAGCAAGTGGTGGTAAATGGATTCAAACCTGAGTTCATCTGGAGCCAGAGCTCTGTCTTTCCTCCCACACAGAAGGCTCTCCAGAGTGTTAACTCCAGAACCAGACTGCCAGGGTTTGAATCCTACTCTGCTTATTTCAGTGTGACCAGCTCTTCTTGGTTTGCCTAGAAATTTCTAGCTTAAAAATTTTAAATCTAGTGTTCTGAAAATACCCTCAACTAGAAACATTAGTCATTTTATACTTCTAGCAATATAACTGCAGATACATATCTTAATATCTATCTCTGTTTCTCCATAAATAAAAGGGGGCTAGTAACATTCCATGCCTTATGAGGTTGTTGTAAAGAGGAAATTAATCTATGAAAAGCTCTTAGAAAAGGGTCTGATTTACACCAATGAAATGTTACTACTGGCTATTATTAGTGACTCCCTGTGGTTCTCCTCTAGTAGGTTAAATACCACACTTGGAATAGCTGTGTGGACAGTAAGCACAAAGTCCTCAGAGGCTCTCTGCTGAATAAAGATATTGTTAAAGTGTAGCCTAAGGTGCCAGTTTTTATGTCTTCAGTATTTTTTGGTTGAGTGCTCGTTCTCAGCCTGTTAGATAATATTGTAGGTTGAATTCTAGGTAGATTGCACAAGAAGAGAGATTTCATAATTCATAAAGCAGCTACAACAGGCATCTTTGGTCATCTCCAACACCCATTTCTCTGCTTCTTCCTTCTTGGCAGCGCCCCTACTCTGTTCAAGTCACCACTTGCTAAGGTTTGGATAAGTGACCCCTGAAGGGGCATGTGTTCAAGAGGCAGGGCCTAGTAGAGGTACTTTGGGTATCTCCTTAGTCTCTATTCCTTGAAGGGGACTGAGAGGCCCTAGTCTCCCAGCTTGGATTAAAAGGGACAGAATTAAAAGAAAAATGAAGGAAGGCTAAAGGACTTCTTGGACTGTTCAGTACAAAAAATGTCTTCCATTTGGTTACAAATGTGCTATCTTTCAGGACAAAGGGGAAAATGACTCCAAAGAAAATTGAGAAATTAGCAGAGTTGTTTGCTGCTACCATGGTCTGAGAAGGCACAGGCCTGGGGACAAGGATGTCTCCTCCTCAGTTCCAGAACGTGGGGCTACTTCTTTAGTTTCCATGGGCCAGGATGCTTCTACCCCATGCCTCAGGGACAAGACCACTGTCTAGAGCCTTTGGGGCTAGGGCTGCCACTGAGACTGTGGGGTAACACTGCTACCCCAGTGGGCCCAGAGAACCAGAGGGGATTATTCTCAAGCATTAACAATCTAACTGAATTTGGTAAGTTTTGAAGTTCTGGGGGTTCCCTTTCCACTTTTTCCTTCTGGAATAAAAATGTTTATGCTTTGGTTTTCCCATCATGATATTTTTTAAGAAGATTGGAAAGTTGGGGAAGGCTCAAAGCTGGGGAAGACTTCTCCTCAGCATGAACCATACTCCAAGTCTCTCTCACACTTGAATCAGATGATACTGGATATACTACGTTTGGAACTTTGAGTTGGTGCTGGAATAAGGAAGACTTCTGGGTGTTGGGGGGATTGAGTGTATCTTGCATGTTAGGAGGACATGAACTCGCAGGGTCCAAAGGGCAGAGTGTTATGGGTTTAATTTTGTCTCCTGTAACACCCCTCCTTCCCTGTACCTGTATTTGGAAAGAGTCTTTAAAAGAGGTGACCAAGTTAAAATGAGGCCACTAGGGTTGAACCTAATCCAGTGTAACTGATGTCCTTGTGAAAAGAGAAAATTGGGGCACAGGGGGAGATAGTGTCCAAGGATGCATACACAGAGAAAAGACCAGCTGGGACACAGTGAGGAGCAGCCGTCTACAAACCAAGGAGAGATGCCTCAGGAGACATGAAACCTGCCTCATGTCAGGCCTGAATTTCCAGCCTCCAGAACTGTGAGAAAATCAATTTCTCTTGTTTAAGCCACTTGGCCCCTTGGGGTGTAATACTTTGTTATGATTATTCTAGCAAACTAATACAGGTAAAGCAGACAGACTTGAATGCAGAGACAAAAGCAGGGAAAATGTCAGGTGAAGACTGGAGTCTTTTTGCTATGCAAAGGAACACTGAGCTTGCTGGCAAACACCAGAAGCTAGGAGAGAGGGCTGTACAGTATAGGAAACAAATGCTGTGGGTTTTCTGGCATTTGACACTAGCTGTCTCCTTGCTGATGTTGTAGAAATCACCTACACTGTATTCACACAGCACTACTTAAAACAAGGTCTGAAGTGAATCATAATGATTTTGAGAAAGAAATATAATAAATAAACATAAGATTAGAGCAGAATAAGACAGGGAATAACTCAATCTAAGAGAAATGTAGATGATCAGTCTATGAAGAGAAACAGTAAAGAAAAACATTTCCTTGCATTTGTCAGCTGCCTTGGGAATTTGAAACACATGAGTTGAGATTAAACATATTCATTTTATGGCTGGGGGGCGTAAAGGAAGGAAGTTATATATGAAAAGTGCTAAGAAATTATTAGTCAGAAATAAGAATTATTGAATTAACTGGACTATGCCTCCAATTTTCACAAAACTCACTAAGTTTCTAGGAAAATATTAAGAAAGCTGTTATCATAGAATTAATCTGAAATAATAAAAGAAGAGGTTGCAGAAATATAAGACATCTCACTAAGCATTTCTATGGATGAGATTCTTTTCTTTAAGGGAATCTCAACACAATGTTTTATTCATCTGGCAAGAAAGAAAGGTAGACTTCTTTTAAGCAAGGCTTGAATCAGCACACATGTTGCTACACTTTTGCTGTTCCACACACCTACCTGGAGAGGCACATCTGGATCCATAGTGAACTGGGGGACTTTGTCGGCCCAAGGCAAGAATTTCTTAGTTTTGTGGTCCAGATAATAATCAAAGATGGTTCCCTGGGATGGAAACTTCACTGCTTTCATCTCTTTATGCCACCAGCGACTGAAGTCAGCTTGATAATCAAAAAGCTAAGGAGTAGAAGAGAAACCCTTATTGCAGACTACAAGGTAATTGTGCAATCATACAAGAAACCTCTCTTCCAAATCCTGCTCGACAGGGTGATGGCTGGGAACAGAGTCAAGTCACAAATGAAGCCTGTGGGATGGAGTTGAAGAATACACTCAGATAACTAACTAGACATTAGTTACAGAGAGTAATACTACCATAGAGGTAAAAAGCTGGAACTGTCATACAGCCATGAGGTAAGGTTTAGTGGAATACTTATTATCATAAAGAACAAGACAAAAATTGGAGGAATCTTAGATTAGGCCTCAGTTATTAATCTAGCAATGAGTTTTCATCCAAATTACTGTGCTGGACATTCCAGGACAGTGGTTATCAACATCAGTGCTGATTTATACCAATATTTGCAGCAATTGATAATGAGAAAAATAAGAATGGAAGACTTTAAAAAAAAAAACTGGTAATAGGGCTAGGGACATGGCTCAAGTTGTACAGCACCTGCCTAGCAAGCATAAGGCCCTAGTTCAAACCCCAGTATTGTCAGAAACAAAAATAACAAAACATCTTATAACATTACTTGATTTCAATACTATGCTTTATTCTGAGTATAGAGACTCCTGGCACTTTTGTTATTAAAATATCTTTTTTTAAACAAATTGATGATGATTGTAAATATTAGCTTTTATAAATGCCTTGACTTAAAAAAAGTAAATGGCTGGCAACCTTGTACCATCCCCATAAGTCCCTACTGAAACAGTTGATCATTGTCATTCAAAACCTGGAACCCCACACAGGGAGGAAGGAATGCAGAAAGGCATGGACTTGGTTTCTAGCAGGACACAACAGAGAGGTCTGGCTGGAAAACCCATAGAGACCAACTCCCATCCCCCAGGGAGGACACAGTGGCACTGCCAGGCTCACTGGACTAGGAGATGCTTGTTTTTACACAACAGTAAGTACAAGTCCTCTGTTGCTAGATTAGGATTTAGAAAATAGAGAATGGGAAATGGCAACTGTGCACCAATATTAATCAAAATCCTTCGAAGTTCACAGGATAACCCTAGAGATGACTAGATCTACATAGTGATCTGCTCCAGACATTCCTGCAGCCACAGGATGGTCTGTTCCAGCACTCCTACAACTGCAGAATGGTCTGGTCCAGAAAATCCTATATCCTCAAGATAAACTGGGCCAGCTACTCCACCACCTTCTGAACCAGTGGCTCAGCTCCTGCCCACCACCATTCAAGTGTTTTTGAAGCTAGGCTCATTAAGTTTTTTTAGATTGGTAGCATGGGGTATTTTATCACTCTACAAAATTTGGTCTTAAACCAAACGTAACCAATAAGACTTAGATAATTCACAGTCTATTACATACCTAGCACCATTTTTTGTACATAGCTACATGTGAGTTCTACTTTACTAAAAATTTGCCTCACCAAAAAGCTGTATCAGTAAAATGATTTTGGTGACTAATCCATGATTCCTCAATTCATTCAGATAAAATCCGCTTGCACTAGAGTAGGGAAGAAACAGAGTTCATGGGGGAGTCAGGGGTCACTGTCAAATGAGAGGGAGGGCCAATGAATGCAGAGTAAGCAGGAGCCTTGAAAGTCACTCAGGCATGAGTGAGAGCCACAGGGGTGACCTATTGTAACTGGATGTTCAGGGAAGCCATTTTTGAGAACAGGCACAGATCAGGGAATAAATCACTCCAGGAAGAGTCCAGCCTATGGAATGAAAGAACCTAATATGTTTGTGAAACTAGCTAGTGCTGCTGGGGCTGATGGGGGGACTGGGAGTGGCAGAGAAAGACATGGCAGGGAAGGACAGCAGGGTCAGATCTGGAGGCCTTGTAAAGAGTATTGAAATGTTTAATTTTACCTTTAAAGCAATAAGAACCCATTAAAGTGCTTTAAACTCTGGAGAAAATTACAGATTCAATTTACATTTTAAGAAATCACTCTGACTGCTGAGTGGATCACAAGGGTAGACACAGAGGCTAGAAGACCAGTGAAGAGGTAGCTTCAGAAACCAAGTGAGAAATGATGGCAGGTGACAGTAGCTCAGAGAGAGCTGGTTAGGTTATCTGCCATGGCCTGGGAGAGGAACCCAGGACCTAAGTCCCATCAGTTGGGGTCCAACCCTGGTTCAGACACTCAGGCAGGTTAACTTATCTCTGTAAGAATCATTGCTTATTTCTAAAAGAAGGATAGCTGTGTTCATGTAGGTTTTTGAAGATTAAGTGATGTGAAGATTAAGTGAAGTTTGAAAGTGTCTGAGATTATGGGTAGAAAAAAAAAGGAGAGCGAGGCCTCTGGGTTTCTAACCAGCAAACGGGAGGAATATTTCATGGGGTTGGGGATAAAGAGGAGGAGCAAATTTGGGGGTGGAGCAGAAGAGGTGTGTCTCAGGCACACTAAGTGTGACTAGTTTGGGAAGGACACAGAGGAGGATGGAAACACAGGTCCTCGAACTCAGAAGGGCAGTCTGGGCTGACAACCGTAGACTTAGCATTGCAGGCTGAGGTGACCACTGTCATCCTGGGTGATTCTACCTACAGAATGCCCAGGCTCAGGAGAGAGCAGTTCAAGTAGTAGAGATTTATGGTAACACAAAAGAAAGATACAGATCACATATAATAACCTCCCTTGTTGATGGAGTGGCTCAAGTGGTAGAGCGTCTCCCCAACCCTACATGCCATGCAAATAAAACCAGTTCTGTAAAGCACTCTGCAACCTACCTGGTCTTTCAGCAGGGCGCCTCCGAATGCCCAGATACAAGCAAAGACAAAATAGACTTCGTAAACTTCTTTTGGGCTGTCAAAAGGAACGTTTTCAGGAGTCAACAAACACTCCAAAAGAGCACAAATAGTCTAAAGAAACAGAAAAACCATTGTTTAGGGCAGTGATTTTTTTAAAATAGTGATTCAAAGGACTTTTTTTTTAAATGACTCCACTTTATAAGAGATTATATAATTTCTCAAAATTCTGTGATTTGTTACACTGGGAGAGACAAAAATTGCTTCCTGCAATGTCTAAGTCCATGGTGCAAAAATTTTGCCTCTTTTAATCCATCTGAGTAATAAAATATTTGTTTGGTTTTGGACACAAGGTCTCATTGTGTAGCACAGGCTGCTCTTGAATTCAAGATCCTCTTGACTCTACCTCCTAAGTAGCTGGAATTATAAGCATGCACCATCATGCCTGGCAAAAAGCTATTTAAAAAACATAATTTTTGACTTATTCAACTAACAATCACTCAGTGAATGAGAAATGCATATAAGAAAAAAGAAAAAGGGAATATATATCTACATTCACTTTTTTATAAATAGGGAATCATATGAATATGGCATCCCATAATCCACTGTCTCACTTAAAAACATACTGAAGACACAACACCTTACCATCAAGTGTTGCTCTGTATTGTCACTGGGAATGAACTTCTTAGGTTCTACTGGATGGACTGACGTTTACTGATCCATTTCCCCCCTGTTGGACACCAGGTAACCAACCCACTTTCCTCAGTGATATGGAAGCCATTTCCCCACCTGCTGTCTTGCATTTACAAAGCTGGACTGGTACCTTTAGCTTGTGACATCCCTTAGACACCAAGATTGGGTTTAACCTTGGAAGAAATGCTATTGAGTAACTCAGGCTTCGTAGCCTGCAGGAGAAACAGTGATAAACTCTGTTGGTCCTAAATACTCCCCCGTCCAGGGCAATCTCAACAGTAAAGACAGGAATGGACTATGGCAAAGGTCTTTCCATATGGGGTACTAGCTATGGACGCTTCTTGAAGCCCTCAAATAGGTGTCATTAAGACTGTCACAGACCCTGGAAACTCAACAAAGTCTTGCTCCAGTCCTGGGAGGCAGGAATAGGACTTCATTGCTATCATGCATACAGTAATGCGACTTCAGTATTGTGTGTGTGCCTTTCCTTTCCTGCCTTGAAGGATGGAGCAGGGCCTTCCATCTAAACAATAGCATCTTTATGCTTCCAAATCTTTTCCCGTGGTTTCTATCATTTTACCTTTTTTTTTTTTTCAGTGGTACTAAGGTTTGAACTCAGGGCCTCACACTTACTAGGCAGCCACTCTACCACTTGAGCCATTCCACTAGCCATCTATCATTTCATACTGTGCCATGTTCAGCAATTTGAAGTAATCTGTTAAGGAAACTCACCATTTTATTTTGAGTTTGTTATCAAGAAAAATAATGGAAAGCCCAGAAGATTCGCTACTCCTGAGTAGGAGTCATGCTGCTCCAAGGATCAGATTAAACCAAACCAAAGGACTACATGCTCTCTAGGTGATGCTACTAGGCAACTAAGTCTCAAACTTCTATTTTCTCCCAAACACAGTACTTCAAAATATTTTGAGCTCTGTGTCAGTGATTAATAAGATCCCACTTAAATGCATATCCTGAAAGAGTTAATATATTTTATGAAAATTAAAGAAAAGCTTCATATATTGTGAAATACTGCATGAATTTTTCAGGATAGCAATTTTAAGTTATTCTCACACTCATTTTTGTCTCAAATTTTTGTACTTGTAAAGTACAGAAAACAGAGACTACTTTATAAAAACAACAGCTTCTAAAGCTCTAAGAATTAAATGTGGCTCCTGAACACTACAAAAGGAAGAAGGGACAGTAAAAGTCATACTAATTCCCACTGACCTATTTTCACATGACTCTTCAATGGAAAACTTCACACCACAGAGAATCTCACAAATACACAAGTCAACTCGAGAAAGAACACCAGCTTGCTTTTGCAAGTACTACACCAGAGGAAGTCTAATTAGGCTAACCACATAATTAATTCATTATGAATAAATTCAGACCTGCTTTCAGAAATAAATTATACCTCAGATAATTACTGTTGAATACTATCGTTTACTTAATTGGTGTGTGAATTATCCAAAAACCTGAACTTTCCCTTCTTTTTCTGCTTCTTACTATTTCTAATTTAGCTTCAAACAAAGTGGGTAACATAGTAACCTAATGGTAACAGAGTACTTGCAAATCACCTTTGCTCCTACAAGAAAAAAAAAAAAACCTTAAACCTTTTTGTGAAGTTTGATACTCCAAGGGCTGAGATTATGATCGCCACCTTCATTTCTGTGTAAATTATTTTCATGCTGCTATGAGAACAAATCAGATATCCTTCACTCTCTCTTTTTTTTTTTATTTTATTATTCATATGTGCATACAAGGCTTGGGTCATTTCTCCCATCCTTCACTCTCACCAGCTGTCTCGCAATGAGGATGGAAATGAAATTACCACGGAGTGGTATGAATTCTTCACACACACTGACATGCCTTTGGGAATATTGGAGGGAGGGGACATCTGTGGACAGGTGGGGGCACCTCTGTGGAAGAAGTTAAGGCTTTTGGCATCCTTAATTACACAGAGCTTATTTTATTCAAAAACAATACTGAGTACCTTCTCTGAGCAAGTTAGTAGGAACTAAATAAATAAATAAGGCCATTGCAGCTTTGTTCCAATTCTATTCCCACATACTTGGAAGGGCACAATGGTTCCAATAAACACATATTTGGCACCTACTGAGTGCTAGGGACTGTGTAAATGTCTGGGGATAGGAAAATGAATAAAATATGACTTTAGCCCTCTAGCTCACAGTCTTAGAGAAATGACAAGCCTAAGTGACAACTGAGTTTGCAAAGGGGTCCAGGGAACGTGATGCTGAGGCAGGAGGGTTGGAATAACCTAAAAATTCCAGAAATCTTTTGTGGTCCTTCTCCTCCTCCTTTTTAAATAGGTGGTACCAGGACTTGAACTTGGAGCTCAGGGCTTCCTCAGTAGATGCTTTACCACTTGAGCTACACCCCTAGACCTTAATTACTTTAGTTATTTTTTCAGATATGGTCTTGTGGCTTTTGCCCCACCTGCCTGGACCAAGATTCTTCTACCATACACCACCATGTGTCTAGCTCATTTGTTAAAATAGGGTCTTACTAACTTTTTGCTGGGGTTGGCCTTGGACCACAAGCCTCCTGACTGCCACCTCCTGAGTAGCTGGGATTGTAGGCATGAGCCATCATGCCTGGCCTCTTCCCATCTTGTTAAACAAGCAAACGTGTGGTCCTGATGGAACCCCACCCAGTCTAGCAAGTCAGAGTGTGTCAGTGAAGACAAACCTGCACCAGGCTACTTTCTGGAATTGAGGTGACAGCTCTGAAGCTGGTTCTCAGCTTGTCCAAGCAGGCAGGAACGTATTTATCAAAAAGAATGGTTAAATTGGCCTTTTCTGATTGGTGCTGCCTTCTATCTATCCAACTGGCCACATGCCTGAGAAGGAACACAGGAAAGCAGTTAGTGAATGCAAGGCTCAAATGCAGAATTTTACCATATCCACAGTCCCCTGCCACACAGCTTAGTGCCACACTGTAGGGACTCTAGTGAGTTCTCTCTGATTCCCAAATGGCAAATATCTTAAAATGGCCCTTTAAAAATTTGTTTTAATGGCCATTTTACCTTAATGAAAAGAATGAGAAAGAAACTCCTAATAGCACTTAGAAGCCAAACATAATGGAGAGTAAGTAGCCATTATGAGCATTTATAGGGAAGTACATGTGTCACTTTGTAAGGGGCTACAACCATTTCCATGGTGGAGGCGTATTTATGAAAATAGCTTGGCATTTTTCTCAACTAATCTGGGCATTAATTATTTAGTAGTGAGAAATCAGTTACAAATAAAGAGGTAAAAATTCCATGGGTTCATTTCAAATTCCTTCCTTTTCCACTGGACTCAACGTACCACCAACTTGATAGCTGATAATGTATTTCCAACCAGGGACACCAAAATGGTATCCCGGGCCCTCATATACATCTATATATCTGAAGCTTATAAAATATTAATTTTAATACATTTAATATCTCTAACATACTAGTAAACTACTCATCATTAGCATAACACATGATTTAATGGTATTCATAGTCGTCTCTGGGGTGAAACTAAGATGCCAGATGAAGACTGATCACTTGGCAAGTTTTGCCCATATAGGAAGCAGTGGTAACGACACAGCTAGCAGCAGCGTGGGAGCTGGGTGGCCACAGAACAATGACAGCTCCGAGAATCAGAAGATGATGATGATTTTAGAAAAGGCTCCCTTTGCTTTCACCAGGCCTCATGATAGCCCTTTATTAAATAACCAACTGCATTACACTCTGGTCTCATTTATAAGATGACAACCAGCAAAACCTTTTGAGGTCCAAGAAGAATGGTTTGCCAGCAAAGGAATTGCTTGAGAGTAATGTGGCACCTCTGGGTGGTAGTGATGGAGGATGAGGGCATGAAGGTCATGACTGTCCCTCCACTACTGATTTTACTGCTTCTCAGATGCCAGAGTGGAATCTTTGCATCCAGAGCATATCAGAGGAGAATGAGGGGAGGGGAGTAAGATAGAATTCTATACCCTGGCTGCCTAGCTTTCCATTCCTGTCCCATCACTTTCTAAATTGTGTTACCTTGGGTAAGTTACTTAACCTCTCTGTGCCTCAATTTTCTCACCTTTAAATAGAAATGATAATACTATGTATTTCCTAGGGTGGTTGTGAGCATTAAAAAATTCTGGATGCATAAAGTGCTTAATATTTGACATATAACAAATTCTCAACAGAGGATACTCATTACTAGAGTTGGTGGCAATGGGAGCTCTGGGTTCAGATCCTGCCTCTGTCTCATGCATCTCTTAAATGCAGGAGTGTCCCATTGGGCACAAGAGTTGTTATCTAGGGTTCTGGTAAGTATCAAAAATTCCATACCCTATCTTCCTAACAAGGTCCCTGTCTTGAGAAGCAGAAGGCCACTTCAAGGGTGACTAGGAGAAGTAGCCTCAAAAACAGTTCAAAGTGGACTTTGCACTTAGGAGGCAGGGAATAGCTTCTCGCATTGGCAGTAGCCAAAGTCTCAAGGCAAAGTTACAAGGCCACTAGAAATGATGTCATTGTTACATCTCTTCCATAAGCAGGGGTTGCTCCAGAAAGAGGCAAGCTGTCCCAATCAAGACACATGGAAAAAAAGCGATTCTGCTGGAAAGGGGTCAACAAGTGACCTTTACTCAGGTAAAGGTCATATACCATATACCATAGAGAGCAAAAAGTCTCTGTTCCCAGATGTAGACATATCATATCCAAAAAGTCTCTGTTCCCAGATGTAGACAATTTAAGCTGTCATGTACAAATTATTGCGGAATTTCCATAGTTGTGAAGAAAAGTAGACATTAAAAGAGAGCAAATTTAGGGAAGATAGTTATTTTCAGCAATGGCAAAACTGAAGACATGGATCTGTATTTGTTTGCCATTCTTCTCATATCACCTCACAAAAAAAGTTCCTTTTGATTTTTAAAAGATGCTAGAGATGTTAACATGACCAACTGCAATGTACCTCTGTCACCACTGTCATAAGGCTTGCAATTGAAAATTGGCGTCCAAAAACGGCTGATTCCTCGATACATAAGAGATGTCCACACTGGTGCCCTGGCCTCAGGAAGTGCTACCTGGTGACACCTTAATGAGTCATCTTAGTGTTAGTGATGTGGTTTAATCACTAACAGTGTCTGCTTTGGTGATAACATCCACATGGGCAGCTGAGTTACCCCTCCCTCCTCCAGAATAGCTCCGAGTTTATCATGTGAACTCTGCATCCTGGATTTTGGAAACTATCCAGGTAGCCAATGTTTTGGGCCTCTGAAAACTTCTAAATTTAGTACTCAGTAGTCTGGGGTTGGATCCTTTCGAGTAGGACAGTTGGAAGTCATGCAACTTGGTCTCCCCTGCATGGCAAAGCTTCAGGTTCTCTGGCCTGCACAGTAGCCGGAAAAGCAACAGAGTCAGCAGGACATGCTGTAAGCCACCATTGCTGAATCTGCATCTTTACGAGTTTATACAGAATTCAAACAGGAGAGGATGGGACCTCAGGGGTAGATGATAATGTCAGCCCATGTCATTCGACACAGGGTGCAGAATCAGTCACACTGAGTGGGAAGAATGTTTTAGGCTAAAGTAAGAGGGAGAGCCCTGTCTAAAGGTGAGGCTTCTGAAAGTTATCTACAGGGAACCTCTTTGGAATCAGATAAAATTCCAGCTATAATTCTACCTTTTCCTGTGATTATAGATGAACTAAGTTTGGTAAATCCCACTTTCAGTGTTATTCTCACTTTCAAATCATTATAATTTAAGTAATTACATATGACTCTTTAAAAATTATTGCCTGTATGTTTTTCCCTTTCTATAAATTCTCATCCCCTTCTAGGAGAAAAAAATTGTCACTAATCATAATCCTCAGAAATTCTCTTCTAATTCTGGCTCCTTTCTGTATTTCTCAGGATCACAATAGACATATATTCACTATCCAGGATTCTTCTAGGAAACTTACTTAGAATTCAGAATTAGTATAAAATGATATTTGATTACTGCAGCTAGACATACTGACATGATTTTTAAGGATGTGGTTTAATCTTTTATGTTCCATATCTGTAAGGTGTGGAAATATAATTAATTTTAAAAGAGCTCAGTGAATTTTAACAAAAATGTTCTAAGAAATTTAAGTGGTAATGGTACTCTTTATTTCTTAACTAGAACTCCACAAGGTACTATGATCATAATAGTCCATAACCTTTTCAATCTATGATATGTTAATAGTTCTTCAATATGAATTTTAAAACAGAGTAGACTTTCTAATTCATCACTGAAAGACTTAGAAACAATGACCTACCACTAGCAATGTGCTCTCTGAACCTACTTGAACTTCAGATACCACTGCTTGTACTAAGAGCTATTCCTTCTGGCTCCCTGGAGAAAAAGCTGGCTTATGTCAAAGTAAAGAGAATCTGAGAAGAACCATAGGCATCTTAGTTTTCTAAAAATGAAAGTGCCCAAAGGCTTAGGAGGACAGGTTTAAAAACAAAATAAAATAAAAAACCACAAGAGATGAGCTTGAAGGGGCTCCTGGAAAGATCTGTGACAATTTGAAAGTCCAAAAGAATCTTGATAATGGGTTATAACACACTGAACTAACAGAAAAGAAACCATAAATAGAAAATGGTAGGAAGAAGGCAGGAAAGAAAGAACAAAGGGGAGAGGAAGAGAAACAACAAGAAAAAAAAGTCTTGACCAAAATGTGTCACATAATACATGTAGATAGAATTACTGAATTAGGAGATCAGCATTTCATAACCACCAACAGGATATTATTTGAGACACTCAACTTGTTCTCTCCAAAATTTTAAATGTATGAAAGAATAAGGTGGGGGAATGCTCTAGATAAAAGAAGACAAAATAAATAAATGCAATGTATGGTCTTGGTTTTGATGCTAGACTTTTTTTTAAAAATGGAGTAACTGGTAAGAGTTGAAAAAAAATTTTTCTGTCAGTACTGGGGCTTGAACTCAAGGACTCATGCTTGCTAGGCAGGCACTCTACCACTGAGCCACTCCCTGTTTTGTGTTGGGATTTTTCAAGACAGAGTCTCATGAATTATTTGCTCGGGGCTGGCTTTGAACTGTGATCCTCCTGCTCTTTGCCTCCCGAGTAGCTAGGATTACAGGTGTGAGCCACTGATGCCTGGAACAACATGGTTGTTTATTAGATATTACATCAAGGATTAATTTCTTAGGCATGTTAATTATATTGCATTCGCACAGGAGAATATCCTAGTTGTTACTTAGGGATAAAGTGTCTTAATGTCTCCAACCTACTTTCAGGTATTTCTGCAAAACTTAACAAAGGAAAACATGTCTCTAAGAGTATGAGTGTGTGTGGCACACGTGTGCATATTTGTACAGCTAGTGAGAAAGCAAATATACTAGGATGGCAACAGGTATAGGGGCAGAGTCTATGGCTGAACCTTTTCAACTTTTCTGTACTTTTAAGTACTTGGAAATAATCAGCTAGGGAAAACTGAAACCTAAGATATTGATTTGAAAAATTGGGTTAATTAATTATATCAGTCTTAGAAAGACACTGAATATTAAATGAATTAATACATGTAAAGTGGTCACGTTATGACATTAAAGTAAGTTGGACAGCCAACTATCTAATAATTTTGGAGTGAAAAAATTATCCTAAACCTGACATAGCCATTTTCTGGCAGCTTACTAAAACTTTCTGGCAACAGGAGGTAAAAATATAAAAATATCCACTAGAGAAGATTCCCATTATTTTGGTAAATGTCTTGACTGGATGCTTTGGTCACACACATGAAAATTAAACCTCCACATTTATCTTAGATAAAACAAAACCTCCATGAAAGTAACATCTAAGGGTGAAGGGCGAGCTAACTGTTAGAAATTGGGTATCTCTTTCAGCAACCTGGGACCTTTGATGTACTGGATAAAAGTTCTTCTTTAAATAGTGAGCTAGACTGAGCTTTTGTTAGCACAAATCTCCACATGTGATTGAGACTGAAAAACCCTGGCCTTGGGAGCTGTGAGGGTCACTACTGAAATCAGACCACACCAGTAGGGGGTGGGAGGTCCTCTGAAGAAAGGGAACGCTGGCTCTTGCACAGGATGCCTGTATTCTCTGTGAGGGGGAGTCAAGGGACACTAGACAGACTCCTTCAGCCAGCCCCAACCAACAGTGGCAGTCCAGGAGACAGAATCCTAGCTGGAGAGAGAAGCTATTACCCCAAAATAACTCTCCATTGCAGATGTTTAAAAATCACTCCTTCCCTCACCACATCTAATAATACTCTGTTAAAACATGAAAGCCTGGGCATGACTGGACTTTTCTGTAGAGTTAAGGGCTAAGACCTTCAGTGAGCAGAGGAAAAGCAGTCTGGAGAAGTTAATCAGTCAGTATCTGAAAGGAAGTGGATGCCACCCTTGTATTAGAATCTCCTACAGGTGCAATCACAAAGGTGAGATGAGCTTGAAGGGGCTCCTCCTGGCAAGATCCGTGACAATTCGAAAATGCAAAAAAGGGCAGGGAGGAGAGAAACTGGAAGGGAGAGTACTGGGCCGTGGGCTGTATCATACTTCAGGTCTGTAGTATCCCCTAAAGGCACATGTGCAAAAGGCTTGGTCTCAGCCTGTGGTGCTGTTGGGAGGTGAAGGCACAGTTCAGAAGCGGGGTCCAGTGGAGGTCTTAAGCTATTGGAGGCATGTCCTCAAAGAGATTTATGGGACCCCAGTCTCTTCTTCCTTTATTTATCTGGCTCACAGTGAACAGCTGAGCTCTCCCACATGCTCCTTCCCAGGATGCACTGCTTTGCCTTCGCACCAAAGCAAATGGGCAAAAAGATTATGGAATGGAATCCTGCAAATGTGAGCCCAAATGGACTTTTTTCTTTATAAGTTGACTATCTCAGGAATTTGTTATAGTGAGGGAAGGCTGGCCAACATAGGACAATAACAAGGAATGGTTAGTGTACCTGCGCTTGTTGGGACATGAAAATGGAAGATCACAGACTCAGAGGGACGCAATCTCACAGCGATAAGCAAGAAGACCTGTGACCTGAGCTGAGACACACAGCCATCCTGATGTGACTCTGCAGGACAGGCGGCAGGAAATAAAAAGCCTGACCTCACTGTCTTCTCTCCCTCACTTCCTGCCAGGGCTTCTCACTGGTCAAACCAAACAGAAGCCAGAGGGCAAGAAGACCACTGATTGGTGCACATGGGGCAAGGGAGAGGTAAGAAGAATGGAGATTATGTCTAGTGGTGGGGGGTGTCAATAGAAGGTATCTGACACAGGAGGCATGTGGTCATAGCACATGGTCACCTGCAGAGCTCAGGGGTTCGTATAGTTCAGAGTGGAAATATACAATAGGGGACAAATGGCCACCAGGCAAACTGAGGAGAGTGTAAGCATTTGAGGAATAAGCAAGGATTATAATATACTTGCTTTAAGTAAAGCATTTCCACTGTTCAAACATATATGCATATTATCTGCACATACCCATACACAAATGCTCATTAAATGATTTATTTACACCTATTTCACACAAGCTATTATTTATTCCCTTACAAACAAATATTTACTAAGTTCTTAACATTTTGAGGGTATGGGATCAAGGTAATGTTCAAGAAAAGATGAAAAAAGGTACCCAGGTGCTAATTTAATTATCTTGAAATTAACTTGATTATTCTTATATTTAATTACTAATATCATCTTCAAATAATCAAATAATCATTTTCACCTGAGGTCAAAAAATATGTTTAACAAAAATATAATTAACAAATGGACAAAGGAATTATGTAGACATTTTTCCAAAGACAATACACTAATGCCCAACAAGCAAATAAAAACACGCCTTACATCACTAATCATTAGAGAAATGCAATTCAAAATTACGAGATACCCCTCACACCACTAAGCATGGCTACTATATAAAAAACAAAAAACAAAAACAAAACAAAATAACAAGTATGGGCAAGGAGATAGAGAAATTGTGTACAGTCCCTTTGTGCATTGCTGCTAGGAATATTAAATGGTACAGCCACTGTGGAAAATACGAGAGTAGGGCCTTAAAACTTAAAATAGAATTAACACATGATCTAGCAATTCTAATTCGGGATATACAGCCAAGAGTACTGAAAAATGAAACTTGAGAAGTTATTTGTACGTCCATATTCATAGTAGCATTATTCACAATAGCTGAAAGTCAGAAGTAGCCCAACTGTCCATCAACAGATGAGGGGATAAACAAAATATGATTTATACATACAGTGGAATATTATTCAGCCTTAAAAAGGAAGGGAGTTCTGACACATGCTATAACATGAACTTTGAAAATATTTCACTAGTTGAAAATAAGTTTGTTACAAAAGGACAAATGCTTTATGATTTTATTTATATACACAGAGCACTCAAATTCAGGGACAGAAAGCAGATGAAGGCTGCTAGGAGCTCAGGACAGGGAGCAATGAGTAGTTACTGTTTCATAGATGGAATTTCAGTTGGAGAAGATGGAAAATGTTCCGTGGATAGGTATGGTGATGGTTGTACACCAAAAAATGATTTAAATGGTAAGTTTTCTATTATGTACATTTTTTACTACAATAAACAGAAATTTAAGACAAGGACTACTCACGGATTCCAGCCCAAATCTTGTGGGTTCACAAAGAGAATACCAGCTCTTGAGACAGTGGCTGGGGTTGCTGTCCTTAAGTGGTGTATCTCAAAAAGAAGCCTCATTGAGGGCGTGAGGACCACCCGCTCATTGCTGGCCAGGGTCAGCACCTGTAACGAGCAGCATGCGGTCACCAGAGACCATTGCCATTGGGAGGAGGACACCAACTCACCATCAGGACAATGGAACTTCCCCTGAGAGAGGAGCCAGAGGCTGTGAGCTCATGAGCCCCAGAAAGAAGTGGATCTGAGTCACACTCTAAGTTCATCTCTGAGGTGGCCTGATAGATCTTTAGAATAAAATTGCCTAAGTGGACCACGAAGGTCAACCTTTCAATAATTGTAGTGATTATTATTAAGCCAAACAGAAGTGTGTGACATAACAAGCGTGAAAGCCACAAAAAGAAATTCCCTTCAGATTCTGAAGCACCAGCTATCAACCATCCTGTAGGAACTGTACGAGTATGCAGACCTTTATCTTATTATGTTTTTGTTTTTTGGTCCTAGGGTTTGAACTCAGGGCCTTGCACTTGCTGGGCAGGCAGTCACTCCACCACTTAAGCCTCTCCCTAGCTCCAGATCTCTGTCTTATGATGAACAGCATCCTAGTCCAGAAAGCAATAATTACTGCTGAGTTGAAGCAGTTCCTAATCTACTCTGGAGTAATGGTGGTGACTGATTTCTCCCGCCTGAGCCCAACATAAGACCTTATGTCACTTATTTGGTATCTCATAGACCTGTATCTTCACCTTTGGTTTTGGTGGGGGAGGTTGGCTTAAGGAGAGCAAAATACTCCAGAAAGCATTTCAGCACAATCTGTAGCCACAGAATGACTTAACTTCCATACCTAAACATCACCAGTTTTCACGTGGCACAAACTCATTCTTTTATTGTCTAATTATTCTTTATTTAATCAAAGACCATATAAGATATAATTTATACATAGCTCTTAGAAAATGATGAGGTTTACTAAATTCTTAGATAGGTATCTAATGCTCATTAAATTTACAGACGTAGGAAGAATGTATTCCCTTAAGTTATGCTCATAATTTCTTTAGCTGAACTTATGACAATTATCAGGAAAATGACATTTATTAAAATAGCGATTACATAAAGAATGCCAGGTTAATGAGTAAAAACTAGAATGTGACCAAGCAAGTGGAACTCAGAGCACACTCAAGAAATTAAGGGTTGGCACTGCATCTTATTCACCTTGTTATCATCCATGACTGTATTTAGTGACTCAATCCACATGGGGTCAATATCTCCATCCAGAACTATCCATTTCGGTCCATCATGCACAAGATTTGCTTGTTCTCGAAGAATGGATGAGAAGAGACCTATAAAACAAAAGGTAACAGTGGTAATATGGACTGGGATTAAGGGCTGTGTATTTCTAAAAATAAATTTGTATTATTTCTCCTGTAAGGTCTTTTATTAACTAATTAAAACAATTTTGTTGCCTTTACTTGTGGGCAATAGGCGACATCTTTTGTGCTACACCTGGACTCCAGATCCAGTTGGACTGATAACTAATGGGCAAGTGTCAAGATCCCAAGGAAGTATCCTTACCTTCCACGACTGACCTTTCCCATGTGTCAAACACAGATGACACGATCTTCCTTAAAAGAAGAGTTGTGGGATGTATAGAGGGTAACATGTAAATGAAAGCTTACACCAGAGTGAAGATGTTCTCCTCTTTCATGCACATATGTTAAGTAGCTATGCTAGACTACGTATTAGTGTATTTCACCTGTTTCCATTTATTCCCAAACAATATTTAAGGACCATAATCCTAATTTTTCAGAAGTGTTATACGTCTCTTTGGAAATTTGGTCATTGGCATTCTGTTAGGTTATCATGACTTAAGAAACCAATATAAAAATATCTTAAGTCTATGGTCCTCTTTTCTGTTGCTGCTTGTCAGGGTATTAATGTGTGTTATATAGCAAATTTAATACTTGCTGACTTTTCAAACTCGAACACATAACATCATGGTGAGCATACCTGCCTCAGTGCATACATGGGGATTATTTCCTCTGGAGTATTTTGTGTCAAAATAAGTGACAGCAGCAAGTAGAACCTGCTACCGAGACCAATAAGGAAGCCAGCAACCTTTTCTAATGGTCCCTGGTCTGAACAGCTTCTGTAGACTTTCAGCATAAACAGATAATGGCTTTCTCCCTGCATAGTCCTTTATGATGACAGAAGTGAGACTAAGATGATACGAAATGTCATTATAGGTAAAGGAAAGAGTGTGTACAAGGATGGAGAATGGTCTACTTTGGGTCAGGGCATCAGGACTTTTCCCTGATGTAGCATCTGACTAGACACTTAAATAACCTAAAGAAGGCAGACACTTGGAGGAAGGTGCTGTGGATGGCAGGAGCATCACATGCCAAGGCTCTGGGATGGGAGGATACTTGGAACAAAGGGAGACCAGGAGTGGATCATAGTCATGAAGTGCAGAGGGCAGGAAATGAAGTCACAAGTGACCCAATCTCTGAAGCCCTGAAGGCTGTGGGGAAAAGTTTGGTTCTGAGGGTGATGGGTTCCCACTGGAAACCCAAAGCCAATGAGTAATGTTTTGAAATAAGCCCTCTGATTTCTGTGTAGAAAATGAACTTCAGGGAGACCAGGAAGATGGCAGTTTGGACTTGTGTGATATCTACGGAGAAGGTGAGAAGTACTGGGATTTGTTATTTATCTTAAAGGTAAAGCTTATTGTATCTATTGTGAGGTTGGAAGCAGAGTGTCACAGGGAGAGAGGGCCTCTGGGATGACACCCAGGTTAGTGTATTTATAGAAATGTGAAGTTATAAGGGATTTTAACAAAAATACCTGCTTATCTACAAATGCTAACCCAAAATGCTTGGGACTAGAAGTGCTTCTGATTTCAGATTTTTTTTTTTGTAGTATTTGCATAGATTTTATTGGTTGGGTATCCCAAATTCAAAAATCAGAAATCTGAAATGCTCTGAAATCCCTAACTTGTGCTCAAAAGGTTCCTAATTTTACAGTATTTCAAATTTTTGGAATATGGATGTCTGGCCTGTGTCTGGTCTGCTTCAGGGCAGAAAACATGCTCCACTGACATCTGTCCTTGGTACCTAGAACAATACTTGCCCAAACCTCAGTCAGGGTCTTGTAGCAGGTCCCTCAAAACAGTGTCCTGAGGCATCACACTGACTTCTCTCCTGGCTTACAAGAACCCCTGACATCACTGACACAGATAAGACGCATGGCTCTGAGCACAAACCCGATGAATGCAAGTCAAGTACTTATTCAAAACTAGCTTTAATTTATATGTTATAAATGCTGTTTTGATCTGCTGTATTTCCAGTAACGCCAACACATAAGCAGTAAATCTGTGACTATGACTAAAATTGGCTTATCCTGGAAAATGGCTTTCTGAGGAAAAAACTAGAGCATTTTAGCACTTCCAAAGGGAAAATACTACTTGCCGTCTTTCCATTCTCGACTGGCATGATGTATGAAACCAAAGAGTTCATCTGTTGTCACAGTTTTTGGGTTTAAGTCATTCCAAACGGGTTTCTGTTTCATGTTAACATATGTTCGGTTCAGTGTTCTCAAAATCTGAGAAGAAAGAGCCAAGAAAATTAATACTAATGTAAACCAAATGGAAAGCAGATTTCCATCTTAATATATGTTGCTAGTTGTCCCATGTGTGCTAAGATTGAGATTAGGGAAAAAAGGGACACAAGAGTATTCCCATAAGCATCTTGAAGACTTTAATTCCACAGACTCTCAGGGAAACAGAATCAGTTTGTCTGATTCTTTGAGCCATTTAAGAGAAAGTCACTTTATGATTTCAGATTTTTAAGCACGTGATCAAAGTGAAGGACTACATGTAAATAAGTGTTAATGTTCATGTTTATAAAATCACCCTGCCGAATTATTCAAATCAGTTGTTCTCCACATTCAGCTCATCTCAGAATTGCCTGCAGATTTTTGAGGCTAAGCCATAAGTTTCTAATTCAGCAGGGTGAGAATGAAATTTTGAATTTCCAGTAAGGACTCAGTGATGGCCATGAACCTGATCTGGACTCTTCAAGATCCTGTGGACACAGCACACTGGTTTTTAACAGGAGATGATCTTCACTTGGGGAAGAGAGATACGCTACCCTGCTTCTGGTGGGTAGAGGCCAGCGAAGCTAAACATCTGACAGTGTCCTGGACAGCAAATATCTAATCCAGAATGTCTCCAGTGCTGAGCTAGACAATGAAGGATAGGAGCTCCCAGAATCCATGTTCAGTATGTGCCTGTTTAAATAATGGACACCTTACCTCACCCCCAGGTATCTGCCCAGCTATCCTTTTGCATTCTCTGAAAAGTCGTGGTTTTGTTTTTCTTATTTTGGCAGTACTGGGACTTGAAGTCAGGGCCTTATACTTGCTAGCTAGGCACTCTACCATTTGAGTCATGCTTCCACGCCTTTTGGGTTTACTTATTTATTTTTCCAGACAGAGGCTTGTGTTTTTGCCCAGGGCTGGCCTCAAACTATAATCCTCTTACTTACACCTCCCACACAGATGAGATTACAAGTGTGGGCCACCCTTCCAGGCCCATGGCTTTTGTTTTAAACACACAGCATCCTGACCAATGCCAAGGGTTTTGAAGGCTTGATGAACAATTGCCAAATACTTTAGAAAGAAAAGTTCCTAAATAACATGTTCCTGGATATACATCTATTCAGCATAAATACATGCTGAATAGAACAGAATAGGTGAAGACTGCATGAAAGAAATTAAATGCCTTAGGAATATTAAGCTTATATTTTTAGAAACCATTCATCTACTAGAAATTATAGAATTTTATCCTTTCATGAACCATGGCCTACATCTGAAACTTACTCTAACAAAATAATTATAGGACTATCAGTTATCTACTTTAATATTTCAGTTACTACATTTTTCACTAGAAGCGTCTCTATTCAGAGCCTCCCTTAGCAATTGTTCCACTTTGGGGTTGGGTCTGAGGACTGGCAAGTTGTATATATACCCATGCTCTAAAACTCATATGTCCATTTGGATTATTTTTAGCCACTGGCTACCAAATATGTTTATACACAAGCATCCAGAATTAAAATGCCTGCAGTTCTGCATATACCATCTGCCAACCAAGAAAATAATGTTGCCAGGACTGTCACAAAGGTCAAACAAAATCAAGCAGTGAACTAAAAATGGGGCCTAATAACACCCATGGCATACCATCATTGTACAGAGAAAATCACATGGCATGCACCTAGCACAACACAGAATAGGGACCACAGCAATGTATTTTTGGCACCTCCTTTTCAAGTTTTGCTTTGGTCCAATGGAGGGCTTTATTTCTGAGGGCGTGCTGAAAGAAAATATTTGTGTTTGTTTTTCTTAATGATATGGAAAGGAGACTCTAGGATGATTTGGAGAAGATAAGAAAGTAATTGTGATACATGTGGGCAGAGCCAATCAAATGCTGTAAACCAGATAGCTTCTTCTGGTCTGTCAATATGTTCACTTTTGATAAGAGTCCAGGTATAGCTACATTCCTGAGAGGTACATAGCAGCACGGTACACAGACAAATGCATAAACAGGATCCCCCTGTCCTGTGGGGAGACCCGATCTCCAGTTCAGCTTCGTTTTCCTAGGTGAATGCACTGCTGTGTTTCTCTCTGTTCACCCAATATGTAGGGAACTAGTGTTGACTGACCCAACAGCAGCAGTGGAGTCTCAGATTCTAACCAAAATTATGGTGGACTTCACCAAAGGGAACTCTGAGTAGCAATGAGAACAGGCAAAAACAAGTATGGAAATAGAATGATGAAACCCATTAAAACTATTTTTTAAGAGGCGGAAGGATAATAGTAACAGAGGGGAATGAATTCAATTAATGCAAAATTACATGCATGTATGGATATATCACAATGAAACCCCTTGGCACAATTAATATACAATGATAAAAAAATGTATATATATAAAAAAAAGAAAATAGATCCCCAAAACGTTTCTTCCAGGAGTGAAAGGTCTGAGGCAATTGACTTTACCTTACTCTTCCCCGTGCCTGCATTTCCAACCACAAAGACAGAGTGTCGCACAGCCAGTAGTTCCTCAAGTTGGACAACCTGCAAATCAACCAACTTGTCATTGGTCCTTCCATGAGTTAGTGACAAAAAGACAACCTACTCATTTTCACCCAATTCTTCTTTCCTTACAACCCAAGTCAGACCCTAATAATGACAATATGTCTAACGAAAGTTAAAATACACCAAAAGTCCAAAGTTCAGTTTCCCCACATAGGATGCAGAAGTGAGAAGAAAATAAATCCATTACTATACATAGTACTTGGTACGTGGCAGGGATAGTTACTTACAGAATCAATGACACTTCACAAAGTTGTGAACAAGAAGAGTATGTAGCCAATCATCCACTGAGTAATGACTGATATCTCATAAAAATATCTAAAATGGAGACTATACAGGTTCTGCTCTGCATGTATTTACCAACCAAGGATTGAGTCTACCTATGCAGGAGCCTTTGATAAGTCAGATAATATCCTCCTAAGTCATTCTCTTGCACATTGCTATTCTTCCCCCATTAAAAGTGGGCACTAATGATCTTACTTCCAATTTTCTATAAAATGGCATGAAGAGAAAATAAAATTTCAGTGTGTGTCACCAAGAAGTTTCTTAAATTAATGAAAAGTATGCTTATGTTTAGAGTCATGACTTCATCATTTCTGTTTTTACCTTCTTACTTCTTACTCAGATGTTTACTTGGATTTATTCTGGGTATGACTATCATATTAAATGCTTGAAAGTATTTATTAAGATCATATTAAGACCAGTGCAATATAAGTTAATGTCTTAAATACCACTCAAGCAGTTATTTGTACTATAAACCCCAACGCCTGCCATGAGAAGTGAATTCTACTCTTACTTTCAGGATGAAGCTCTCCTCAGGCTGCAGGCGGAGCTCCAGGGTGGACTGCCTGACCATCTGTTCAAAGTGTGGCTTCCTGTGCCGGGGCACATCCAGGGCTGGAAATAAGTCACTGACCAGGCCCAGAAACACCGGGACATCATCGGTCACTATTTTAGGCATATTGAAATCTCTTAATGCTCGCATGAGTACCTAGGAAGGAAAACAGAAAACACTTATCACAAGGCCATTCCAGTACTTCAAAAAGCTAAAAAAAGGATTCTGAATGTTTTTGTCACAAATAAATGATAAATGTTTGAGGGGATGGACATGTGTAACCTGATTTAGACATTGGACAATGTGTATATGTATTAATGTATCATGTGCTAATCTCACTAATATGTGTAATTTTATATTATATACCAATAAAAATTATTTTTAAAAAGACAATGAATATTGTTGATGTACTTTGTATATGTATATGAAAATAGAACAACGAAACCTGTTGAAATTGTCCTAAGAAGAGGGGCAGAGAGGATGAGGAAGAATGGTGGAGGAGGTGAATCTGATTAAGATTTATTATAAGCACATATATAAACGTCACAATGAAAACCCTCTGAACAACTACATTCTAGTTAAAAATATTAAAAAAAAAAGAGAGAGAGAGAGAGAGAGAGAAAGCCAATACAAGGCCTAATAAACCCCAGGAGCTCAACATGCTACTTTTAATCCCCTATCTAATGCAGGAGATGCTGGTGCTGCCCTCCATTGGGATGACATTCTGTCCATAGGGAGGTGAAGTGTTTTCAAATGAACACAACAGCACAGGAGACAGCAACTGACCATGGACAAGTCCAGACTAAGACCAGCAAAGAGGCTTCTTCCCTGCTGACTCTCTGCTCTGAACTTCAGAAAGTCTAAGTTCCTTCTGTTCTAACCCTCAAACTCAGGCTGTACATTAACCGTGCCAGTTAAATTGCCCTGTGCAAAGGACTCTGAGATCTCAAGCCACAATTGCACTTTTAGTTTGCAATTGGCTACACTGGCTAAAAACCAAAGAGAGATTTAAACTTAAAAAGCAGTAACTCAAATACCAAGATAACTCTTAGTGAAAGAGCTAGGCATTCCATCAAGAATAACCATACAACAGAATGACAAAGGAATGAAAGAAAATGTTCACTGCTTATAAGTTGTGATTGAGAGAGAAATATTAGCAAATTTAAAAACCACAAAGTAAATATTCCTTTTACATAAAAAAGAAACCAACAGAATGGGTCTGGTTTTCTTTGTGCTTCTCACACCATACTGTATGCATGCAGGTGGTATACATTCATTGCTCTCACTATTGACTAAATGGGGGGAATGTACCATGTGTTGTCACCATTTCCCCCTAGAAAGGAGAGCAGAGTGTTTGCCTAGCAACTCTGAACCACCAACTGAGCATTTCACAGGGTCAGCAACCATCTTTCCTACTTCAGTTTTCACACCCATCAAACAGCCTGTCAAGTGAATGTACTTTCTCCCACTAGATTGTACATTTGCTGACTTTTCAGAATATCCAAACTCAATTAATTAGATTTACTAAATGTTCCTCAAAGAATATCAGGGATTACTGAAAAATTTGATTATAACTGTCAAAATAGTTTTTTGTGACAAATATCTCAAAAGCAGTTATAAAAATCACATTTTCTTTCCCAAATTCTTATCTTTATATTCAAGGACACTTTTGACCTGTTATAAGCAATGACAATCCTTTAAATATGCTGCTTTAAGAATAGATGTTATTAGAGATATATGCAGATCTTATATCCAAAAGTGGAGCTTGTAGAGGAGACCAAGGGAAGAAAAAGAAGGAAGGAAAGACAGTAAATAATAATGATGTACATCACATCTGTGTAGGAGCAAGCCACAAGGAAACATGCTAAAAACTGTTAAACAACACAGGATAAGGGGGAAAGAGTGAGGAAGTGCAGTGGAGGGGGGTTACACTGACTCAAGCACAATGCATGGACAGGGATAGTATCAAGGCAAAAATCCCACTGAACAATGAACAGACACTAAACAATGAAGGACAAGAATGAAAAACAGGTCATGCTAAGGGGAGGGAACTCACTAGAGGGAGAGGGTAAAAGAAGGAAGCAAAGAAGGGGAATATGGGTGATGCATTTTCTATACAAGAATGAATATAGAATGTTGAAACCTGTTGAAGTCACTATAAGAAGAGGACTAAGGTAGAAAGGAAAAATATAGAGGATGAATCAATTTGTGGTACAATACATAAATACATAGAAATGTTATTATGAAACTCTGTCTAGATATGTTAAACAAACAAAAATATCTTTTGTTCTAAAAAATGGAGGGCAGGAATATAAATGAGGTCCTTCTGGGGTTGGATACCAGTGGGAGGGGGGAGGACATAAGGAAAGGGTGTAGGAGGGTGAATGTGATGGAAATACTATGTACTCATGTATGAAAATGGAAAAATGGGACCTGTTTAAAGTATTCTAAGAATGGGGGCAAGAGGATAAAGGAGAATGATGGGGGTGTATTCACTAAGATATATTGTAAGCACTTTTTTAAATGTCACAATGTACCCCAATACAAAAACATGGTAATAAAAAATTTTTTAAAAAAGATGTTATGTTTTTTATAAGTCATGCTGTGTGTGCTCACCATCCAAGTATATATTTCTACTTGTGTGAAGTTGTTTAGCTACTCACACAGCAAAGTATTTTAGCATTGCAGTACCTCATCTTCAGGTCTATTTTTATCTCCTCGTTTCAGGGAGCCAGCTACAACCAAGACTGATTTAATTGCACGAAGTCCCCAGTCATAATGATCCTAAAATCAAAGCAGACATATATTTTCTTAGGAATTATATGGCATTTCATCCCAAAAGTAAAAGCTAAAAATTAAAAGTTTAAATAAATACATTTTCATGATCAAAATAGTATCAACCTCTTCTGATATTGTGAGAATCACATTCCTGGGATGGGAGTCCTGCTTCTTTTGCCCATTTTCCTGCCTCTGTCAGCAAATCTTGTCTCTCTGCAGCACTTAATTGCCACTTTTGCCTTGGGCTCCCTTCACCTCCCCCGTTCTTCTCTCCCAATAAGCCTGCTCACTCAGGAACCCATCTTCCACGTGTTTCTTCTCCATTGGCACACTGTTCCAGTTGTGCACCGAGGACCCTGGGATTCCACACTTTCCCAGGCTCTGATGTCTAGTCATCCTAATTACCCTACCTCTTAATCACTTAGACTCCCCTGCCCCAGTGCTGGCACTAAATGTAATAAACACTGTATTACTGGTCAGAAGTGATAGCTCACAGCTGTAATCCTACCTACTTAGGAGGAAGACAGAGATTGGGAGGATCACAGTTTGAGGCCAGTGGTGGGCAGAAGTTTGTAAGAATCCATATCAAACAATAAAAGCTGGGCATGGTGGTGTACACCTGTTATCCCAGCTGTGTGGGAAGCTAAATAGGAGGACCACAGTCTAGGCCAGCTTGGGTATAAAGCAAAACTGTATTTGAAAAATAAGCAAAAAGGACTGGAGATGTAGCTCAAGTGTTAGAATACTTGCTTTGCCAGAGCAAGGTCCTGAGTTCAAAGAAAAAGGTCCAGTACAAAAAAAAATCCACAACATATCACTAAAATTCTATTATAAACCAGTACCTCTTTGAGAGTTCCACATCATCCCAAATGAAGATTCCTTCCAGAGGCTTGGAGCTCTTGGAAGACAGATATATATCTTACTCATTTTGGTCTGCTATGTCCCAACACAGTGCTGGCGGATGCTCAGTACAGACACAGTGAATGAACTTGATTCAACGATGATTGACTCCATGGAACTGGCCTTCTTTCCCTTGTGCGCCATCCCCCATCCACATGCTAAAAACCCTTCTCCCAGATGTTCCCCAGCCATGCCTGTGGGCATGACCTTTCCTCTCTAATCCTCAGCATCATCTATAAAAAGGCAGATGAAAGTATCCATCTATTCTATATGTGGTTGGAGGAGTAAAATGAGTTTATGTGAGAACAAATGCTTCATGAACAGTGAACCAATATATACATGCATGAATATGCCATTCCATCCATTACTGGATAATAAAATACATTTGGCAGGTTGGACATCATCTCTGTTGGTAATAAAATAAAACAGAATGGATTTAAAAAAAAACTACACACACATCCATATACCAGAGTATGATACAAATAAGGGTAAGGAGAGTCTGGTGAACATTTTTAGTTCAGTTGTGTGTATGTCTGTGCACAGACATGTATACTGGTCCTCAAAAGACAAAGTAATTTGTAGTGTGTGTCATTATAAAAATAGTTTGAAAGTTGCTGTTGTAAAAGTAGACTGGATAGGGAAAGAGAGGGAAGAACCAGATTTTGGGGGGCACAGAGACTAGGGAGGGGGTAAATCCTTGCAGTAACAATACTGAAGGAGAGGACACAGAAGAAATTCTGGACACAGACCTAAGAGTTCTTGGTATTATATATTTAAATATTGAGAGCCACTTCACTGTCTTTATACATCACTTCTTGCTCACATACGTTCTCTGATTCTTCTCACAAATCCACCAGCACAGAAAGTTATCAATGAACCATGTTCTTATTTCATCTCTCCTGTCCTGGACATATTTCTTTTCCTTTATATCATTACACTTCTCTGAACTCAAGAACTCTTTCCTGGGTTGGGATGTGGCTCAAATGATAGAATGTCTAATGAGTGTGCAGGGGGCCCTAGGTTCAAACCCCAGGACCATCCAAAAAAAATTTTCCTCTGCTCTATCTTTACTCCCAACACCTTCCTTTGTATCTGGCTTCAGGTAACCTAGACATGATTAGAAAGAACCGAATTCACAATGTCTCCCCATCACTTGTCAGATGTGGATTGTGGATAGGTTATTTCACTTAATTTCCTCATCTTTAAAATAGGCCTGATACTACCAAACTTGTGAAAAATTTAAAACACATAGTGTCTATTCAATACGTATTAGATTCTCTCTTCCTTGAGAACTCTGATAATTTGTTCATCTTCTACTTTCTTCCAATTTTTATTTTATGGAACTGAGTCTCCTGAGGTCTTTGCAGTCAGAAATCTGGGTGTTTGTCTCACTTGTTTTGTATGTTACTTCCCCTTTGCCAGCGATATGCACATTCTGATATGTAGATGACCACTAAATGCTTACCTTGTACTACAGGTAATGGATATGGTTGAAATTCCATTTTCCCTGATTCAACTACATTTTTTCTTCCAAAATTTTCCCATTATAAAATTTAAATGGGTTCTTTTTTTTAAAGGAAGATTACAAGAATAGAAAAGAAAATGAAAATACCAATAATTTTACAATACAGAGACAAGTGTTAAAAATTAGGAACTTTCCCCCCAGTCATTTCATAAGTATAGAAATGCACAATCTAATGTATAAAACAAATGCTAATGGTTGTAGCACTCAGCTTTCACACATAACAATGTTGTAAAATATTTTTCTGTATTATGAAATGTCACAATTTCCTCCTAAAGTATAAGTCACAGTTATTAAGATGACAACATAACTTTGTCTCTCAGATTCCATATCTCACCCTAACAGTGGGCAAATTCAAATGCATATGTAGGGCACAGGCCTGTAATACCAGTTGTTTATGAGTTGGATAGGAGGACTATGGTTCAAGGTCAGTCTGGGCAAAAGTTAGCAAGATCCTATCTCAAAAACAAGCTTGGGGTGGTGCCCCACTCCTATGGTCCCAGCTATTTGGAAGATGAAGGTAGAATGATCACATTCTGAGGTCAGCCTGGACAAAGTTAGCCTTAAGACCCTATTGAAAAAGCAAACCAGAAGCAAAAAGATGGGGGCATGGCTCAAGTGGTAGAGCACTGCCCAGCAAGAGTGAGGCACTGGGTTCAACCCCCAGTACCCCTACCCTCCCTCCCCGCAAAAAGGCATACATTGGCAGCACAGGTAACTGCATGGTTGTCACTGATAAGGTATTAAATCCTCATTGTGTAACAGCTGCAGACCATGTCATCAGGAATTAGCAAAAGGTGATAAAAAGACCAAAAGTCACCATTATTAAAAATACTGGGGCTGATACAAACTTAACTGTGACACATCAGCAACTTCAGTGAATCTATAAGAAACTTGACCGAAGACGAGAGAATATGGAAGTTTGGCCCATTTCAGAGATGAGGGAATTGCAGAAAGTAAAAGTTTAAAAAAAAAAAAGAAAGCCAAGCCCACTTCCAAATAAGGGACTACCAACAAACTTTAACATTTCTACATTTCTCAAATTGTTCTTCAGAAAATCAACCTGACCTCACTCTATAAGCACTCCTTCCTTCTCCCCAAGACAGGGAGGAAACAGAAAATTCCCTTTATAAGTAAATATGGCATGATGCTTAAAGAAAATCACATAGCTCATTGATTAAAAAAAAAAACAAAACTTGTACTAAGTACAGTGAGAACATTGAGATGTCTCACATTTAATTCCAGAAAAAGAATTAACACTCATAAAATAAGGTTTTTCCAAAATTTCTGGAAAATATAAAACCATGTCTAGGTGTAATTTGAATGTTAAATTACCCATCAGCCATATTTTACAAACTGTTTTAATGGGATATAAAAAAAAAAAAACAAGAAAAAAAGGCAAAAGAGCCCTCACCTGCTTGGACAAGAGCTCCTTGCAGAGCGTATACAATGAAACGAACTTGCAGGCTAATGAGCGTGCATCCATGAAACCTTCAGCCACTAACATGATTTCACAGATCAGCTCCGTGTCGGGGGCCACCATGGCACAGGGTCTATGACAAAAATAAGAAATTGAGTTTTAAAATGTGATAAAATTGTAAGTACAAATTACTTAAATCAAGTGATTAGTCTGTGCCAACATTCTCATCACTCCTAAGCAGGTCATAATTACCTCTGTCAGTCACAGCTAGCAAGACCTTTTCATTAGTGACCAAAAACCTAGAAAAGGGAAGGAAGAAATGGTAGAAGCCTGGATGGAGGAGATTCAAGAAACTCTATGGGTATATTCTGGTGTGTGTTTGTGTATTTGCTTTTGGTGACAGGGGACTGAACCCATAGCTTCAAGCATGCTAAAGCAGGTGCTCTACCACTGAGTTTCACAGCAGCCTCCAAGCTTCTAGTGTGGAAGCTGTCACTGCAGAAAGAGGCTAGTCTTTACCTGTGGTTAGTGGTGTACTGGTAAAGGCTGAACAACCAACTGCCCAGAAAACAGCATTTGCTGATGTCCCTAGACTAAATCCTTCCCTCATGGCTGGCTTCAAGCCAGCCATCACTAAACACAGAAGTGGGAAGAAGTGTGAAGTAGGTCACCACCATACAGACAAATGTATCATTAAAGTAAACAATTAGGAAGTCATGAGTTTTAAGTATCCCCCACTGCTGTTATAGCACAATTGATTTATAAAACATTCATTTCATTTGGTTTTCATTAGTGGCTGTGCTTAACACTCAGCTTACAAAATTCATGAACGCTTGGCTATCTGCTCTCAAAAGTTTTACAGTCATCCCTAGCACAACCCAGACTGGAGACTCTTTTAAAATGAAAATTCAGAAAAATATAGTTTTAAATTCCAAATTCCCCTGCTTGTAGAGGGTGCCTTCCAAAAAGTCCTCCCCAAGGACAGTTGCAAGTAACACCACTGTTTGAAAAAATTCAAGTCAAGAACAGAGAAGCAACAAGAGTCAATAAACGAGTCCATTACTTTTGACTTTGAAAACTGTGTATTCCAAAAAGCACATCTCTAAATATATTGTCTACTTCCTGCACATTTAATTTTCACCCTAAAAATTCCCCCAAAATTTCTTGGGCTTAGGTTATTGAACCTGTCTAAGCAGATCCCCATTTTCTTCCTCACATTTACTATTCATTATGTGTCAGAAGAGTAAAGATGAAGAGAAAATAGGTGTGGGGGGCAAGAGGGAAGGCTAGCATATTTACTTGTTTTATGTTTATGTTATATAGAAAATACATTTTATGGTGCTAGGAATAGAAGCTGGGGCATGCACACACTAAGCAGTTCTTCTACCACTGAGCTACGTCCCCAGCCCACAGTGACCGAGCCATGTAGAGTGCTAAAAGCTTTCTATGCACTCTGTCACTTTTGTCCAGCAATGCTAAGAGGCTACTTTTCTTATCTGCCTTTTACAGATGTGCAGACTGATGTCCCCAGAAGTTCAGGCACATGTCCTAGGCTACTTGGTTGGTAAAGTGGAGAAATCAGGAGATTCTTAGGGCCCCAGCATACTGACCCCACTCATGAATATTACTTTCTCTATCCAAATTTTCCTGACCATGGTAAGCTAACATAAATGATGCTGCACTTGATTTATTAAATAAATTTCATGAAAACATCACAAGACAACTTTAAGACCCTAATGAAAAAGGTTCATGAGATAAATTAGATTACAAATATAAATCAATGGAAAGGTATACAATTTTCAAACAAAACTATTCTGCAATCATTATGTTCATTCCCAGGGTAGTTATCTCTATCAAGAAATTGTTTTCAAGAAAATTAGACATTATAAAATTACTATGCTAGCTGAGTGCTAGTGGCTCACACCTGTAATCCTAGCTACTTGGGAGACTGAGCTCAGGAGGACTGCTGTTTGAGGCCAGCCTGGGAGGGAGAAGGGAATTTGTGAGACTCCATCTCAATGGAAAAAAGCTGAGTGTGATAATACATGCCTGTCATCCCAGCAATAGCCGAAAGAATAAAATAGGAGATGGCTGGCCTGGGGAAAAAGTAAGACCTTCTCCCAAAAAAACAAAACAAAACAAAACAGAGCTAAATGGACTGCAGGTGTGGCTCAAGTGGTAGAGCTACAAAACCTTGAGTTCAAACCCCAGTACCACCAAAAAAAAAAAAAAAAAAAAAAAAAATTACTATGCCAGAGAAAGCTGATATTGTGAGGGGGAAAAAAACTCATTCAGCACAGGATGTTAGAATATTTGGTGAACTATTAGGGAAAAGAAATACTCATTTCATGTGCCCTACCAAAGTTTTTGTTATATGAATGATACTTAAAAATTAGAACAAAATGCAAAAGAAATATGGTTAAATATCTAAATGGATAGGCAAGCAAATTTTAGGTTTAAGAGAACTGAAAGGAATCACAGTGAAAACTCTAGAGGTTCATACATCACATGCAAAATGGCTATTATTATGTTGAAGACACACTGAGTAGTTGAAGACATAGATTGTTAATCCTAAAGAACTCCTGAAAAATAAAACTGGTAAGCCTTTAGTAAGATTCCCATGAAGAAGAATCTAGGTCCAGACAGTTTCCCTAGTTAATTCTACCAAATACGAAGGCATAAATAGTAGTGATTCTCCACAAAGTTTTAAGAAAATAGAGAACACTCCCCAACTAATTTCATGATGTCCGCATTACAATCATAATCTTTGCTTACAAAATCAAACAAAAATATCCTTAACACAGTAGTAGCATGAGATAGTAAATGATGTACCTTCCCTCTTGGCCTCATTCCTATATTTAATTAATTAAACCAGCCCTTCTTAAGCCCTGAAAAAATACTAAGTGAACATAACTAAATAAAAATCATGCCTACTGTAATATCTTAACTTCATAAAATACAAATTGTATAATCATCATTATTTCTAGGTGGTGGTACTATATTTTTATTTATTTTTTTCTGTATTTCCAAATATTTCATCATTTGTACAAAATTATGTCTTAATAAAACATCGTAACACAGAGCTAATATTCAGATTTTACCACATAACTTAAATGCCACTTTTGAATACTGGCTTCATAATCCACAAGGGTTAATTGATCATGAAGGAAGTTCTCTCTACAAAGGAATCCCAAAGAAATAATAAGAAATAATAATTTTCCATAGAATTTCTCCAGCAAAAACAAAACCACTTAATAGTGCAAACAAACGACATTAGGTGGCATGAGTTCACCAGATGCTAAAGCACAGAGCACAGCACTTGCCTGAAAAGAGCTTTGAGATTTTCTGGTAATTCAGTGCGACCAGCATATCCTGGGTTCATAGTAATAAATATTCCAACCGATGGCTTCAGTGTGATATCTTCTCCAAGAAATACAAATCTACCATAAACAGAACGCTGATGGAATTAAATGTGTTCACTGAATATGAATGCACATTGACAAATGCAAGCCACTGCAAAATGCAAATTATTATTAAGATGCTGTTTATTCTGTGTAATTTTCTTTAGGATTCATAAGCATACATATTTTGAATATGTCTTGAAGCGTGTTTATTAAAAATACCATCCCTTCCCCCAGAATTACAAATATGGGACATATTCTTGTTTAATTTTGCAGAGCTATAGTATCCTAGAAGGTAAGTGAGGACTTGACTACTTTAACATTTGATGAGAGGTGATGGCATTTTTGCCTTTTATATGAGTTGCAATTCCTTGAATGAATTACTATGAGAATGTCCACGCTAAGATGAGAAAGGGACTCCCTGTTTTGTCTTTGCATGACTTTGTCTATTTGCTTCCCTTTCTCCCTTCATTCCTCCCTCTCTTTTATTCCTTCAGTTAACATCTGTGTCACACTTCTAAAAGGTAGAACAGCATGGTTGGTCATTAGGACAATTAGGTCTGGTGCCAGACTGAGTGTTCAGAGTCCAGCTGTGTCACTTTAGGCACGTTAATTATCCTCTGCATGTTCCAATCCCCTCATCTAATAAAGGAAAGGATAATAATATTACCCAATTTATTGGATTATATGAGGATTTAAAAGAGATTATGAATATGGTGGCTAAGAGCACAATGCCTAGGACACAGTAACCGCTCAGCAGATGTTAGCTTGAAAGCAAGGAGAAGCAATGATTTTCAGCAAAATTTGCCTGGGTTCAATTAAGGTGCTGATGGCCAGGGTGAGGGTATGTAGGGGCTGTAGGAGCCAAACTGAGACAAGTAGAAGAAAACTTTCAGGTGGGATAAGCAAAACAAAATGTAAGGCTTTCTCAGCAAGAGAAAGCGGAGGGCTGAAGTAGTTCAGGAGCTGGGCCTGTATGTCCAAACAGGGAGGGCAAAAACATGGAAGTTTAGGACTCTGAGTGTCTTAGATATTAAGAGAAGGTGGGTTTTGTACAGTCAAGGTAAAAATGGAGAAATGTTTATTTCCCAGAATGTCATGAGAAAAGGTAGACAGGTCTGACAGGGCTGCTCCCAGACTGAGGTGGCTACTGTCATAGAGTAACTGTCCTCTCTCCCATCATACACAGGCAGGCCAGCTACCACTCAAAGGTATGGACTTCCAGTGATTGAAGCCAGCAAGATGCTGGAAAGCTTTGTGGCTGAGGCATGATCCATCTCTTAAGTACTTGAGTTTAAAAGGAATTTAATCAACTCACAAAATCACAAACGAACCTCAGTGTCTGCACATGGGCTAGCCTAAGGACAAAGAGAGATGGCTCAGACATGCAGAGGGGACTAATGAGAAGTATAGCAGGAGATTTTCAAATTCACTGCATAGATCAGTTATATAAATCTCTGTAACAAAGGACGGCCTCAAATGACATCTGGGTTTCATCAAATAAATAGATTTTGACTAAAAGCCAAATAAAATATGGCTGGAGATCAAATAAAAAATAACAGGACTTTTTTAATATGGCATTTGAGTAGGAGTGGGTAAGCCAACAGACATCAGGATGCAGAAGACTGGTGAGTCAGAACCAAGCAGTAAAAGACTGAGTGATTTTCTAGTAGGTAGAAACATCCAGATATTGCCCCTGACAAACTGGAAGCTTCTAGAACAGGTGCACAGTTCCAAGGAGATGGATAATCCTTCACCAATGGGGAGGCAGATTGAAAATGTTCCCATGTACAAGACAGTTACCTGAGCAAAATACCTTAAAAATGAGAAGAATGAATAGGCCAGATAAATGAAGTTGCATATGTATACAAAAAAATATTACAAAGAGAACTAGAATTGTGCTGTGTATTATACTTATTTATCAAAATGAGCCATGAAAACCTAAAATTGAGTTGTTTCACCTTTTGGAGTATGCACATGGTGAGAAGTAGATTTGCCCCAGTTCCTGGGAGAGCAGGAAGATATCACCTAACAAAGCACGTGTTGGTGAAAATATCAGGACTTTGATTTTGGTGCCCTATGGCAGCTGGTTCCAGAAATCTAGTGAGAGGTGACAGGAAGTCTGTGCATGTGGGAGCCAGCAGTATGGAGATGATTTGATTCACCCAGGGCCCTGGATGAAATCACCAAGGGAGACAGAGAAAAGGAGCCCAAAGACTAAGCTCATGACACCCAACATTAATAGCTCAGGAAACAAAAGCAATAAAACAAGTAGCTAGCCCTTGTGCTGTTTACATTTAATTACTGGTACTCTATAAGGTAAGCACTGCTCTTTACCCATTTTGTAGGTTAGAAGCAACTATCAATAGAGCAGCTATGAGGAGAGGGAGAAGTGGGAGAAATGGTGCCCTGCAACCCACAAGAAGAAACCTGTGTTCTGTTGTAGAGAGCCACCAACTGCCAAAGGGCAAGAAAAATGAAGCCTGAGAACTGATCACTGGATTTACCATCCTAAAAGCTGTTCAAGTGATTCAAGTAATGTAATATACCTTTATTGCAGTCAATATGGAAAAACCACTAAAGAAAATGGGAGAAAATTCAAAATAATTCTTCCAAATTAACTACTCTCTTATTTTATCCATTTCATGAGACCTAGAGAGGTAGCAATAGACTATGAAGATGAGGTTACCTACATTATTCCATGTTAGTCTATTTTTTAAGCCATGTGACACTCACCTCTTTTTCCTGTTTCTGATGGCATCATGAATCATTTTCACTTGTACTGCCACCACGGACAGAACTTCCACGACAATGCGATTGAACTCATCGAAGCAGCCCCACGCTCCTGTCTGCACCAAGCCCTTATAGATATTTCCTATGGACTAGGTGACAGAGTGAAGCATTCAGAGTTTAACAGATGGGGGTTTTAAGCATTTGTAGGTTGAACATACCTAATCTGAAAATCCAAAATCTGAAATGCTCCAGAATTCAAAGATTTTTCTAGCACCCACATGACACCAGAAGTGGAAAATTCCACACCATGACATTTGGTTTCAGCCACAAAATTACTGTGTAAAATTACCTTTTATCTATGTGTATAAGGTGTATATAGACTTACAAATTCTGTGCTTAGACTTGGGTCCCATTCCCAAGGTATCTCATTACATATATGAAAATATTTCAAAATCCAAAAAAAAAATCTGAAATCTGAAATACTTCTTGACCCAAGCATTCTAGATAAAGGAACTCAATCTATATTTTGGCTCATTCCAAGTAGGAATGATGTTGTCAGAATACATCATTTTATGCACCATTTAATAACTCACTTTGTAATCCATTTGTTCTGAACAGTTGAATACATAAACCATCATGCCAAGAGCACGTCCAAGATCTTTGGTGGTCTCTGTTTTCCCTGTACCAGCTGGGCCAGCTGGAGCCCCACTCATGGTTAGATGAAGTGATTGAGTTAAAGTAATATAACACCTTTACACAACAGAAAACATAAAAATTACAGTTTAGTATGTGAGTTCTATAAAACATTAGGGGAAATTGATTTTTTAAATTAAAAAATAGCTTAAGAAGCCTAGATCTAGAATGCAGTAGTAGCGTCTTGGATGATAAATGAATTAAACACTGACTGCATTAAATTAGTACTTACATCTCATTAAGAGATGTAAACTTAGGTAAAAATGTACCTATTTCAATACATAAGATAACACAACATGTAAATATATGGCATAATTTATTATATTAAAATGTATTTGAGGAATTCATTTTGAAAGTGTTGCTACACTCATGTAGGTCATTAGAATCTTTTATTTTCCTTTTTTTTTTTTTTTGGTGGTGGTGCTGAGGTTTGAACTTAGGATATAATACATATTTTTTCAGGAAAAATTCAAGTGGTTCCAAGACTGAGAAAAATCATGTGAGGACAGAATTTAATACTTGCAAAAGAAGGAAAGACTAACAAATGGCAAGGACCTGAAGTGGCTGGTGTTGTTGGGGTTCTTCAGGGTTATACCTTATTTTTTGTCTTAGCATAGACAGTGATCTAATGGGAACACATACACATGGAGGTCAGGAGACCAGGGACTAGGATCTACTTTGCTGATCTTCAGATGTTAATCTTAAACCTTTTAACATCAACACACCTTAGTCTCTGCCACAAAACAAGGCTTATTGTATGGATGTAGGAAGAAAGCTCATGGTAAATGCCTTGAAGAATTCAAAGCACTATGCAAACAATAAATTGCTCATGAAAATGGGAAATGTTTCCATATTTTATATCAATTGCATGTTTATGTGCATCTTACAATGAAATGGAGTGGAAAGACTACTAGACTAGGAATCAGAGCACTTTTTGTAGAAGAGACAATCTATCCCCTTATAGTCTGTTCCAGGGTTCCAGGTCTGGACTAAGCATACAGTCACCTATATCTACATTTTCTACCTGCCTTCCAAGCAGGAATGGACAAGTGACCAAGCCCCAACCAATGTGGTATGTGTAGAAATGGTGTTCCTAGGATACATCCTTACGGATTGTTGACCTGCGGTCCTGTTTCCATTAGTTGAAACAAATGTGGAACTCATGTTTAGCATGTCAGCGACATGCCAGCCTGCACTGTTGGCCCGCCTCACCTCTGGACTGTTACACAAGTGAGACATCCACATCTTCAAGCCATGGTATTTTTGCCTCTCTATAACAGCAGTGTAGCCTGCATCCTCCTAACTAACACATCTGTGTCCCAGCAGAAGCCTACCCAGTATAAGTCGGTTGACCTAAGTCTTGTAATATATGAAGGGGACACTTATATACCCCACCTACCTCACAAAGGAATGGTCAACATCAAGTGTCAAATGAGACACACTGAAAGTATTTTAAAGGCATCACTATGTTAATATAAACAGTAAATAATCCAAAGGAAGAAACAAATGAAATATACATAATGTAAACATCTTTTCCATCACTATCCACACCATCGGAATGAACACTCATCTTCTCTTTAATTTCCAAATAAAGCACACAGAGATTTTTATTCAGAAATCTAATAAGCTTACAGTCTTCACTATTGATAGACTTTACAATGCTTCTGGCCTTGCTCTCTTACACCCCTGGCTTCGCTTCTCCTCTTCTCTGTTCACGGCGTGTGTATAAGAGATTCTCAACACATGCAACAAGAAGCTACAAATTTCAACCCCTCACACTGAAAGCAGTACATGAATTAACTAATGAAGACAGTGAACAATTTATATCAGAAACAAATTAAAGAGAACTGAATTAGACAGTCATAGAAGCTATACAATATACAAATGATGAAGCCATGGGCAGATTAGTACGTATATGATCAGTCACAAAGCTAGTGAGGCAGTCCCATAAACCTCTTGGGACTACTACAGTCACCCAGCTTTACGGGTGTATATTTGAATTTGTCTACACTTTGGTGATACAGGATAATCAGAGGCATTGCCATGATCTTGAGGTATGATTTCTCTTTCATAAATGCAAATGATGAAATATGTTTCTCCCACCAAATAAGTCAGCAGAAGTTACTCTACAACTTTGTACCTGACTTTACCTATAACTTTCTGCCCCAAATATGTGTGTAGGTGAGTCTGCATTCTCATGTAGGTCCTAGTTCAAATGTTCTCTCACAATCCATACATCCAACTTGAGACAATAATGCCTACAAAGGTTCAGATTTTGAATTTTCATATTAGGGATGCCCAACCAGTCAAGTCTACACAAACATTCCAAAATTCAAAAAACTTCTAAGATCTAAAACACTTCTGGACCCAAGGATTTCAGATAAGGACACTCAACCTGAAGTAGTCTTTTCCTTGAAGACCCTTTCTAATAGTGTCTGTTCGTGGGTTTGTTTTTTTTTTTTTTTTTTGGTGGTACTGAGGGTTTGAACTCAAAGTCTCACGTTTGCTAGGCAGGCGCTCTACAACTTGAGCTACTCCAATAGCCCATCCTTTGTTTTTTTTTTTTCATAGCACATATTATCATGTAAAATAACCTTATTTTTTTTTATAGTTCTCTTCATCCTCATCTACTCAGATGCTATACTCAACCAGAAAGTAATCTCTATGAAAGCAAAGCCCCTATATGCTCACTAATGGAACCGGAATTAGCACAGCACTTCATACACCTTTATTCAATCACGTAACAAAGCTCACGTTCTCCTCCTTCTCTTCCTTTCACTGTGTTGCAGTTCTTCCTAAATGAATTTGAACACAGGGAATTCCTAGTTATTTTTATACTTCCAGTTAAGGATGGAGGGGGAAGATGGTGACAGATCCTGATAACAGGATGTTAGATGTAGGTAACTGGGCAAAATTCACTCAGGGATCAGAAGCTGTCTTGAGTCATATTTATTCCCTTATGGTTCCACTATAAGTATATTGCACAGCTTCTGTAATTCTCTTTCTCTAATTCAGTTTTCTTTAACTTGTCTCTAACAAACATCCAACATTCACTGTCTTACAAAATTAGTTCATATGCATACTATTTGCACTTCATGTACAAGTTTGTTTATCATTTTCTCTCATTCCTTTCTTTTCATTCTCACACATCTCCACCCCTGCTAGGGCATTTTTTTTGGGGGGGGGGCTGGATTTTCTCCTTGGACTTAAACTTATAATTGTTACCTGTCAGTTAGAGGTGTGATCACCAGCCGGGGACTGTTTCCTAAGTATTCATAGAAGTACTGGAACTGGGCATCACAAATATTAACAAAACAGTGTTTCTGGGTATCCTCCCACTGGTGACGAAGTTGAGACAGCCAAGCGAAAGCTTGGGGACTGACAACCTAAAATCATTGTGTAATCGTTATACATTAGACCCAGGTAGTTTTGAGGCAACAAGACTAATTTAATCAGCTCTATTGGCTTACATTTTACTTCTAAAATTTCACAGATAGGAAATTTTTTGCATGCTATTACAAATTGTAATTACATGTGGGTTGACTACCTAGAAATGTGTGTTTAGCAAAGGTGTCTTTTAATAAAACAATATCGATTTGTTCAAGCAATGCTTTTTCCCCCTTTATGAATCACCCCAAGGAATTAGATAACTTACATATCTTTATACTCATTTCACTGAAATCCAATGGATAAAATACTTTATGTGCTAAAATGGCACACCACCCATAATTTCTACATGTTGGGGATAATAAACTACATTTTCAACCACATTCATTCTAAAACCAGTCTGCTTTTAGTATATTTTCTGCTTCATCTTTCATTGGACCAAATAAAAATATTTTTTCATTGCTGTTCTTTTCCACCTTACTCAATCCTATCTATCTTTCAGTTTGGAAAAAAAAATCCTATCTCTTTAAAGGTACATAAGACACTTCAGTTTCTGGGAAGTCACTTCAAGTTACCAAAATTCTTGACTACTAATTTTCTGCTGATTGTATAGTATTCAGCACTGCATGTTCATGTATTTTGTATTTCTGAGATTTAGACAAAGTATCTCCTTTAGTATGAAATAAAGTTTAATCATAATTGATCTCACTGCAAGCCAATCACCAGACTGATAAAATGGTATAAAATATATAAGAAGGTATAAGGTCACAGACAAAGAACAGTTGTTAATAGTTCATTATCAATATAAAAACACATGGTAAGTGGTATTTCGCAAGGTTCATTCTTAGATTAAATTTAAAGAAGTGTTCGCTAGTGGTCCTGGAGCTAGACTAAGCAATGGTTACTTATGCTTACGGCTAAAGTGAAGAAGCACTTTCTTATAGTTTATGAAGTGAATTCAAGTTCACTTTGATTTTAATAGATGGAGAACTAAGCAGAAAAAAACCACAGTGTTTCAGAATACATGTGTGCATTCAAATTTTGAAAGGAATTGTTTTTATACACACTCCCCTCCAAATATACTTCTGATATTTGTAAGAACAAGTGTATTTTGGGGGAGGAGGGTGATAAAAAGAATTCTCCTTTCACATTAAACACTGCCAGTGTCTAAGAGACACGTGGACTTTGGAAGAGATGGGAGAAAAAGTTATTAATACACTGAAAGGATTAGAAAATAACTTCTTATAAGAAAGTACATTATTTAGCCATGAAAGGAAAAAGACAGGGGATGACCTAGAATTATGACCAACATTGATTTCTTCCAGGAGAAATGGATCAATGCCACGCAGAGTTGGCTGAGACCTATACTATCTTATTGCCACTGGCTGTGTAAGTCACAGAGATGAGACTTACAGACAAATGGCCCAAGATAGTTACATACAGAAAAGCCAAAAGTCAGGGAGATGAACACAATGACTGCTCATAGTTCTTCCTCCTTGAGTAATTTTTGAATGATATGAGGATCCTAACTTGGCAAAACCTTTTGGGAAATCACTTGGAATAGCTCTCATCAGGATAATATGTTAGTTACCCCAAACCCAATGCACCCAAAATAACTACAATACCTCAGGACTAAACTATGCAAACTTAAAAAAAATTACTTTCTTGGAACTATTCTGACAATCAATATCACTTTCAGGAAACAACAAAAGATAACATTTCTACAGAAAACTTGCCTTCTGAGAAATAAGTTTTGCCACCACATCTCTGGCATGGACATGTATGGTACAAATTGTCATGATCTTCTGCCTGTCTCCAGGTGGAAGTTCTCCCAACAAAAGTGTAATCAGAGTGTTCAACTGAGAAATCTAAGAGGAATATTTTTTAAAGGATAGAGTTATAAATACAAAATCTAACAGGCCAATAGTCTTCACCTTTGTAAAGTGCTTTAGTTTATACAACAATTTCAAATTTGTTATCCCAGTTGGTCCTGGGAAGAGACAAGGATTATTTCCCCTCATTTAGATGAAGGACCCTGAGAGATGGTAAATGAGTCAGTAAATAATGACAAAGTCAGGTGCAGAAGCAGGGTTTCCTGGCTGCATGGAACTGACCACCCCACGCAAATGGTGATCCAGTCAATAATTTAACCACAACAGGAATGACTAAAAGGTTTAACAAATAAAATCAGGTTAACTTTTTTAAAAGCTATAGTAAGAGCTAAATAACAAGTTATATTCTTCTTTAGAAAGATTCACCTCACAATTCCCATGCATTTTCTTGTTTTTAGGATACAAGAGAGTAATGGTTACTGAGAACATATTTACAGCTGAAGACTTTATCCTACTCCATTCTTCTTATTTACATTCCTAATCTTGGTTAGGCCCATTGATCTCTTGGATAAATGTTTTCCAAACTGCTGGTCTCTTCTTTTAGAATGGAAAGGAAGGAAATGGAATAATACGAATGACAACTCATTGAGCTGAAAGGAATAGATACATTACAGATGGTGAGAGTACTTATTCTTTTGTGAAACTAATTTCCATTTTGAGTGTATACATACATACGTGAATAATCTGAAATAAAATATTTGGTATGGTAAATTGTGGTCAGAAAAGTTTGAAAGATAATCTCTTAGGTGGTTATTTTGCTAGCATGATTATTTACACAAAAAGACTCCTGCCTCACTCCAGGCTTATTTGAAAAAGGAAAATAAAAACTGTCTTAATTCTAGGTGGCATGTTATGGACCATATAATGCTATCCTTTTTCTCACTTTAGCTCTGCAAAGGTCAAGTACACACTGTTAGCACCTGAAAGAGTTGGTAAGTGAGTAGGACAGGTCATCAGAAGCTCTCAGGCCCACAAAGCCTACTGTTAAAGCCAGGTTCCCTATTGTGCTATCGACAAGCCCAGCTGGAGGAAGCCCTAACCCTGCAGACTTCCTGAGACTGCTCTGCCTGCACTCTGGAGAAGGTCATGTGACAGAATGGGAAGGGAGAAGAATGAGATGTGGTTTTCTAAGTGCCTACTAAGCACAGTGCCTGCATCATGTAGTGTACCTTACAATTAGACCCTACCCCTCAGATGAAGAGATCGTATCACAGAGCTATTAACCACACTGCCAATCCAGAGACAAGGGACTTACACTGGCATCTCCCTCTTTTGCAGCCTTCATAGGCCTAGCTACCACCTCCAAGGCAAAGGAACTGTGGCTACACATGAGGCATTGCAGAGAGAATTAGTTCTAAGTCAACTACAAAGGAAAGCTTGCTCAGAGAAATGAAATATATGCAAGTTAGCCATCAGAATATACAGCAGCTTTTAAAATATTTACTTAGCCTACTTCATCTTCACTTTCCTCCACTTTATTGAGGTCTAATTGACAAATAAAAATTGTATATATTTAAGGTGCACAGTGTCATACTTTGACACACATATACATTGTGAAAAGACTACCACAATCAAGCTAGTTGACACATCAACTGACGTAGTTATACTGTCTTTGGATTTGGTGAGGATATCTGAGATTCACTCTCTTGGCAAAATTAAGGATAAATAAAATACATTAGCTTTAACTATGGTTGCCCACATTGTATATTAGGTCTTCTGAATATATTCATCTTACAAATGAAGACTGTACCCTTTGACCAATATCTCCTGTTTTTCCTTATTCCATTCTCTATTGATATGTGTTTGACCTTTTTTAAAAAATGATTCCACATATAAGTGAGATGACACAGTATTTGTGTTTCCACGTCTGCTTTATTTCATGGAGCATAATGTCTTTCGGACTCATCCATGTTGCTGAAAATGATAGGACTTTTCTTCTTTTTGAAGGCTGAATAGTAGTCCATCATGTGTACATGTGGATACATACACACACACACATGGTATTTTCTTTTTCCATCTATAAACAAACACTTAGGTTGCTACCATACAATAGCTATTGTGAATGATGTTGCAATGCTCAGGTGAATGCAAATAATCATGGAGAGAGTGATTTTATTTCCCTTGAATATATACCAGAAGTGAGATTGCTAGATTATATGCTAATTCTATTTTTAAGTTTTTTGAGGAACAGCCATACCATTTTTTATATTGGCTATTTTATTTTACATTCCCACCCACAACCAAGGAAGTGAAAAATCTGTACATTGAAAAACTGTAAAACATTGAAGAAATCAATTGTAAAAGACACAAATAACTGAAAAGGTATTCCCTGTCCATAAGTTGGAAAAATTTCTCCCTGTATGTCCCTAACTATGCCAGTAACCCATAGATTCAATGCAGCTTACATCAGAAATCCAATGGCATTTTTCACAAAGAAAAGGCAATCTTAAAATTTGAACAAGACCACCAAAGACCTTGACTAGCTAAAGCAATCAAGAACAGAACAGAGCTGGAGACATTACACCTCACTTCAATTCACTGGAACTGTAGTAACCAAACCACTATGGTAATGGCAGAGAAACAAACATACAGGTCAATGGAGCAGAAGAGAAAGTCCAGAAATAAGTTTCAACTCATTTTCAATATGGACATGAAAAATACAACATAGGGAAAGGCTAGTCTCTTCCACAAATGAAATGGTATGGGAAAGGCTGGATATCCAAATGCAAAGAAATTAAATTGGACCCTTATGTCATACCAAAAAAAAAAAAAAGAAAACAACACAAAATGGATCAAAGGCTTAGAAGATCAAATCATCAAACACCTAGAAAAAAACTCCTTGAGAGTGGTCTCAACAGAGACTTTTGTGATTTAACACCAGTGCACAAATAACCAAAACAAAAAACTAAAACGAAACAACAAAGTATGACTATATCAAACTAAAAAGTTTCTGCAAAGCAAAGGAAACAATTTTAAAAATGAAACAACCACATATGGAATGGGAGAAAATATTTGTAAACCACACATTTGATATAGGGTCATTACTCTGATATCAGAATGCATACAACTCAATAGCAAAAAAAAAAAAAACCTAAATTAAACATGAACAAAAGATCTGAACATTCCAACGATGACACACCAACTGGCCAACCAGTATATGCAAACATGCCTGACATCACTAATCACCAGGAACATGAGAATCAAAACCATAATAAGATATACCCCACACTTCTCTGTTTTATAGTACCACTTGTTTTCTTTTTTTTAATCTTATTTTTTGCTTTTGTTGATTGTGCTTTTGGTGTCAAGTCACAAAAATGATTGTTAAGACCAATCTCAAGGAGCTTTTCCCATATGTTTTCTTCTAGACGTTTAATGATCTTAGGTCTTATATGCAAGTCTTTGAGCCACTTTTCACAAAGATTAAGTATGGATAGACATGACATATTCAATATTTATCATTTCCTAGATTTTAAGTCCCCACAAAGGTGAGGAAACTGTCTTATTCAGTGTTTTGTTCCCAAAGAGCTGTTAGAGTGTTTACCAAGTAGATAAATGAAGGTCTCATAACAATTTCTAAAAGAAAATTAGTATAATGTGGATTATAAGTGTTTTAGCATTGAATATTTTCTTATTTGTGCCCAGATATTCAGCCTTCCCAGACTCAAACCTGATATATGACCAGTATTTGGTTCAAGAACTGGTTGTAACAACAGTAGCATGTTACATCTTGAAGGGACATTTATACATTCAAGTGTTTTCATAATCATTGACAAACTGTCACTGTACATTACTGATTCATTTTTCACAGAAGTCCAGTCAAATGAAAGGTGATTAAAGACACAGTGTGTAAACATTATGTGCACAGAATCACATGTTAAGGGTTTTATATTGTCTCTCAAGATTAAGATTTCTCTGATGATATTCTTTCATAAGTAATAAAATTTATTATTTTTGGTGGTACTGAGGGTTGAACTGGGCCTCGTGCTTGCTAAACAGGCACTCTCCTGCTTGACTCAGCTCCAGCCCTTTTTGCTCTGGTTATTTTGGATGTATGGTCTCACTTCTTACCTAGGCTGGCCTGGACCATAATTCTGTTTTAGCCATCATTGTGATGACAGGCCCATGTCACTACATCCAGCCTTTTCCCATTGAGATGGGGAACTTGCAAACTTCTTTGCCTGGGCAGGCTTGAAACCATGATTCTACTGATCTCAGCCTCCAACACAGATACGCACCACCATGCCCATCTTCTGGTTGAGATGGGGTCCTGTGAACTTTTTTCCTGGGCTGGCCTCAAACCATAATCCTCCTGATCTCAGCCTCCCACATCTGTTAGGATTACAGATGTGAGTCACTGATGATCAGCTTATAAGTAATAAAGTTCTGTAACCATAGAAATAAATAGTAGTTATAAGAGTTGGAAGCTTGGCTCAAGTAGTAGAGTGCCCACCTAGCCAAGTGTGAGGCCCTGAGTTCAAACCACAGTATCACTCAAAAAAAAAAAAATCTGTCAACTGGGTGTGATGGCTGATGCTCACAGTCCCAGCTACTTGGGAGGAAGAGATTCAGAGGATCTCAGTTCAAGGCCAGCCTGGACAAAAAGTTAGTGAGACTCCATCTCAACAAACAAGCCAGGCATGGTGATAAGCACTATAATTCTAGCTATGTGGAAGGTACAGATAGAACGATCTTGGTCTGAGGATATTATTTACACTGAATTAGGTATTAGAAGTGATCTAGCAATGGTTTATAGAATACAGGAGGATGTATATAGGTTATATGCAAATACATCAATTCATATAACTAACTTCAGCATCCAAGGATTTTGTTATCTGTGGGGGTCCAATACCCCAAGTATACTAGGGATAATTGTGTAAATATTAGGCCAAGAAAGTTGATAATCATATCAGAAATATCAGAACTAGGGCAGGAAATGGAAGATGCAGCATCCAGGAAAAAATGTTTGATAGTTC